GCGGATTACCTTCCAGCTGCAATCCATCACTGGGAAACAACCATCCGCACTCATTCACACACATACACTTCGGCCAGTTTAGCTTATTCAATTAATCTATAGCGCCCATCTTTGGACTGGGGGGTAAACTGGAACATTAGGAGGAAATACACACCAACATGGGCAGAACATGCAAACTTCACACACTATATATATGATGCATATATATCACATAATTTTCAAATGTGAAATACAAATGTGGGATGGGTTAGGGGTGATAAGGGTGATTTTATGATGGGCGTATCCCTTATTTTCACATCCCAGTGCTGACAGGTATGATTTAGGGTGGAGTCATCAGTCCCTTAAGGAAGGGCTATTAGTCATTTGGGGGTATCGATCAGTACTTTGGGGCGGGTCTATCAGTCATATAGGGCGGGCTATCAGTGGTTGTCTCGTTTTTGCTCTCAATAAGTCCATTATGCACCACCCTACTTCTTTTTTTTTGCTTATTTCAGGACCGTTTCAAGTAAATGTACGTCATGATACTGGACAAAAAACGTAACTTTTGCTTCACGGTGACTTTAAGGAGTGTACTTAAGTACATTTTTAGTTTCTTGATCACAGCATTATTTTCTTTCAACCTGCAGTCACTACTCTTACCACCACTGCTAATTAATGACCCCACACGAAAACCTGGAAAACCTGACTCCCAACAAGTCCAAGACTCACAATAAACTCCATCCCTGAAGTGTCAAATGTGTCAGTTTTTAACAGAGCTTTGGAAGCTGGTGGTCATTTTGATTTGATATCTGATGCAGAGTTGATTACCTCAGGGGTGAGGATTTGTTACAAAATATCAGAACTTACTGACTTTACTTTTGACCTACAAGCGGGCACAGCTATTGGAATCTTTTCGACTCGAGACTTCAGGTTTCATTCACTTCCATTGATTTTTACACGTCAAAAACAACTTGTTCTGCTGTTTGATGTTGCACACTGATATTTTCTTATCACATTATTCTACTTTTTGTGTGTGCTCATTAACACACTTGTTTGTACAGCAAGTAGTTCTACAGCATTTTCTGCCATTTCTTCCACAGATGACTGAATAAGAAATTCTAAAACAATCACAATTCCGCATTGCAAAATAAGGTCAATAGAAAGGTTTCCCCAGTAGAATCCACTTGGGTAATTTCAAGCAGAGGCGTTCAAAAGAGTTGAAGAAGTGCATTCCTGTGTAAGTTTCACTCTGCAATAAAAAGTATAAAATGAAGGCGCATTATTCCAGAGGGTCAGTTCACTGACCTCAAGAGCGCTTCAGAGAAACTCTGGCCCTCCACTGATGTTGATCCGAGTACAAATGTGAACACTCCAAGTATACACTATAGGAGGTGCAGTACACTTTAAAGATCAAGCCTCTTCTGTAGAAGACTGGATCTGGCCCTGAAGGCGAAGTGAAGGGCTCATTAAGAGTGAGATCCAGCTCAAGGCCAATCTCTCAGAGACAGCAGAGAGATTTAAGGAGGAAATCAATGCTAAAGCGACTGCCAAAAAAGAGGAGACTGGAGGATGAACGATGTGAGCTGAAGAGAGATATTGATGACCCAGAGCTCACCTTGGCAAAAGTGAAGATGGTAAAACACACACCAGCAAAGAAAGGTTAGGATTTTAGGAGCTGTTTACACGACAACATTTTCAGACAAAAAATGGGAAACTTCATGCGTTTTGGCTGTTTTTTTTACACCAGGGGTGTTCAAACTTGGTCCTGAAGGGCTGGTATCTTGCAGATTTTAGCGCTAACTTGCCTAAACACAGCTGCAAGGAGGTTTCTAGAAAGCCTAGCAAGAGTTTGATTAGCTAGCCCAAGGTGTGTCTGATTGGGATTGGAACTTAACTGTGCACGACACCAGCCCTCCAGGACCAAGTTTGGACACCTCCGGTTTACAAGAAAAGGTCCCAAATCGAACACTTATGCACTATTCTATGGCATCTTGTAGTATACATAGTGCAAGTAGTGCCTTCAGCTTGAAAAATCTAAAAAGAAGTGCACTCTAAATACCAGGATGATGCACTGATTCAACCGTTAAGCATAAGTGAGGATTGTTGGATATTTCATGCAGACAATGCTTTTAGTTTTACTCATGTAGTGGAAGGAGAAGGGCTCTCAGGCCCTGAAGTTGGATTGATTATTGATTACGGATTGGGAAAGCAAAATTCTCCCACATGAAAGATATTCAATTAAAGTCATCTTCATTTCTAAAGCACTTTTACAATGTAGATTGTGTCAAAGCAGCTTAACGTAAGCTGCGTCTCAAATGGCACACTATGCAGGCCTACTTATGTACTTACACACTCAACAGCATAGAATGTAGTGTCGTTCCATATGGAACACTAATGTTTTTTTAATAAGCGGAAAGTCATACCGTTTCCCTGATGACATTTGACAAATCATTGAAATAAATGACCAAAGTACCAAACAATACTTGCCATGAGTATAACCGCATTCTCCATTTGGTGGAGACTATATAATTACTCTTGTAGGAAAATTTTGTTTCAACAATCCAAAATGAATAAAGTAATCCAACATGTGCACCCGAAAGCTAAACCATTTTTGCTACATGAGCAAAACTTAAATGTCGCTGGGAAATAATTGGTGTTCTACTTGGGAAGACACTAAACTCTACACTACAGGGTTGAGTGAATTAATTAGTGTATAGTGTGTAAGTGCATCATTTGGGACACAACTTTAAATCTGAAAATGAATTACAAACAATTATATATATTTTTGAAAACGTTGCGTTCATTCAAAAACACCTGAAAATGAGTCTTTAAAAACGATGACATCACACACACATGGTAAATGTTTAGGCGAGGTGTTAATTAAAGGCAAGCATGAACAAAAACACAATGGCAGAGTAGGTGTTAGAATTGTTGTTCAAGTGCTTCATCAGCAAAGTATGGATTTAACTCACACTACGCCTCAACCCTGATCACAAAAGGTGAAACTTTTTTCAAATGGACTTAGAGTTGAAGACCAATTAGGCTTCCTGTGAAATTTGAATTCTCGTGTTGAGTTGTTTAATGGAGAGAATTTTTTCCCCCAACACATTTCTAAATGTAATCCTTTCTAATAACCAGTTTCTAATACTTACGTAATTCCTTTTGTCATTGCCATGGTGACAATACATGATATTTTACTAGTTATTTTGCAAGGTGCTGTTATTCAGCTTAAAGCATCATTTAAAGACTTAACTAGGTTAATTAGGTTACATTGGCAAGCTATGCTAATGAGCAAGTCATTGGACAACAGTGGTTTGTTCTGTAGACAATTGAAAAAAAAAAATCCTTAAGGGAGCTCATACTATTGAACTTTTTACATATAAAAAAAATCCTGCCAAAGTAAGAGGAATAATATTTCATCCAGAAAAATAAATAGGATTCAACAACAAAAGCAAAATACAATGATGTGGTAATATTGTATTGTTATAATGCATGAGTGTTTGTTTTCTGTTCTTATTTTCATTTTAAACACCTTTTACTGTTTAATGATGCACAAGACGGCAATGAAGATATGAGGTTGTTAAATGTTGTAAAAGAAAAGTGAAAAAACTCACCAAAAAGGTACCCCATATCAGTAAAGAAGACTTGTTTGTGCTTTTATCTTTTTACCTTTACCAAGGAAGAAGGTCCTGCTGATGCTGCAGAGTCCCAGGTCAATGAGATGAGAGCAAAAATTATGATGATGCGTAGAGGTGAACACCACCTATTGTCTCTGAAAGAAATACTTTATAATCAAATAAATGTACAAATAAACACATTATATATATACATACATTGAAAAACAGTATATATATATATATATATATATATATATATATATATATATATATATATATATATATATATATATATATATATATACATTGAAAAAAGAGACACTTACTGGCCATTTTATTAGGTACACCTCTCCAACTGCTTGTTAACCCAAATTTCTAATCCACCAATCACATGGCAGCAACTCAATGCATTTAGGCATGTAGACATGATCAAGACGATCTGCTGCGGAAAGGTGATTTAAGTGACTTTGAATGTGGCATGGTTGTTGGTGCCAAACAGGCTGGTCTGAGTCTTTCAGAAACTGATGATCTACTGTAGAATGGCCAGACTGGATCAAGCTGATAGAAGGACAGCAGTAAATCAAATAACCACTTGTTACAACCTATGTCTGCAGAAGAGTATCTCTGAACACACAGCACGTCCAACCTTGAGGCAGATGGGCTACAGCACCAGAAGAGCACACCAGGTGCCACTCCTGTCAGCTAAGAACAGGAATTTGAGGCTACAATTTGCACATGGTCAACAAAATTGGACAACAGAAGATTGAACAACGTTGTCTGGTCTGATGAGTCTCGATTTCTGCTGCGACATTCGAATGGTAGGGTCAGAATTTAGCATCAACAACATGAAAGCATGGATTCATCCTGCCTTGTATCAATGGTTCAGGCTGGTAGTGGTGGTGTAATGGTGTGGGGGATATTTTCAGGGCCCATTAGTACCATTAGTACCAATTATCGTGTCAATGCCACAGCCTACCTGCTGACCATGTCCATCCTTTTATGACCACAGTGTACCTATCTTCTGATGGCTACTTCCAGCAGGATAACGCTCCGTGTTTTAAAGTGTAAATCATCTCAGACTGGTTTCTTGAACATGTCAATGAGTTCACTGTACTCAAATGGCCTCCACAGTCACCAGATATCAATCCAATAGAGCACCTTTAGGATGTGGTGGAATGGGAGAATCGCATCATGGATGTGCAGCCGACAAAACTGCAGCGACTGCGTGATGCTATGATGTTAACAGATAATGAATGAAATACACATTTCATTCAGGAAAGGATTAAAACATTAAACTTGTATCAGCAATCATATAATATGATGCTTGTAATAATAAAAACCTACTTTCTTTTATTAACAACCAAACAAATTTCGACATTAATAAAAATAAACATCCATACCCAGTTGACGTGAAAAATATGAATGTCTTTATCTCACCAATTCTCATATAAACATCTCCCAGAAGTGAATGACACAGTATGATACAAAGTTAGCCTTTCTTGATAAATTTGTGCCATCTGTACAAAATGAAGTGATATGGAAGACCGCAGAAAGGGAAGAAAAATCCCTTTCACATAGTTAACAAACATCGGCAGAACATCCAAAGTAAAAGAAACAAACATAAACAAAACAAAATGAAAACATTCCTATTCACAGCAGTTAATTCAATGTAACACAGAAAGAATTTTTACATAAAGACGATAGTATAAATACTCTTATCGGCATTAAATAATACTGTTAGAACGCTCAAAGCTTACATACAAACATAGAGCCGATATTCAAAGACAAGCCTGAACCAAAGTCATCCAAATAAAGCGGCTCAATGCTGATTTCATGCTCTCTTTTACACTATAGTTCGGTAGCACTCGCTTGCATTAGTCGACATAATTCAAAGTATTGCTCAAGCCATTACGATACAAAACACGTCAAGCCAAATCCCTTCAGTCCAGTTCAGAAGAATCCCAGTCTGATTCATTTGGAAGTACTAGTGTGGCCATGTTTTTTTTTTTTTAAATAAAAAAAGACGTTTAACTTATTTTGTTTAGTCTAAACCGACCTTTGAAATGTAATACGTAATCAGCGAAAAGCAACGAAACATCTGCGATAAAAACAAAACATTTCAATAAAAGCATGAAAGCGTCGGAAAACTCACACTTGATACATTTCGCAAGCAATATACATACTGTATCTTTTAAAATAAACACATATTGACCCTTCGATAGCGTCAACGAACTCTGTAAGGAGATAAAGTTGGTCCGTCAAATGCCTCTAAGGGTCCAGTGTCTATTCGGAAAATCAATGCGAATTTTTAATAGCGTTTTTCGTAGTTTTTTTCCCAGCATGCAGCGGGACGGCGAGACATCAGCTTGCATTCCATTCATTAAAACACACTAGATCAACTCAGTGTGGAAAAACCGTATTTACATCGGAAAAAAGTTAAAACCATTTGAGTGCCTTTCTGAAGATAAGAATCGGTATGTGTAATAAAAAAAACCACACTGAACGCCACTGAACGAATCTCACAAGAAATCACCCCAAAATCAACAGAAAATCTTCTATGTGCTCAAAAATAAAGAGTGTTTGTAGGATTTTGTTGCAGTCGGCTCATCGAATTTCACTATTTTACAGTAAAATTGATGATTTTTAAATTCACATTATATTAACGAAAGTGTTTCCTTCCATTACACTAACACAATAGTGAACAAAAGTGTGCTTTGTTATCATTATTATTACTTTAATGGTGCTTAAAATAGGATTACAACGATAGCATAATACATGTGCTTTTAATTAATAATATAAATAACCACAATTTAAGGCAGTATACTAAATGCTACCGTAATTTAAAACCAATAATAAAATGTATTTCCAAGTAAAAGTGTGCTTTTTAAAAAACATTATGATCCTCAAAATATTCTTCGCTTTCTTTGTGATGTGTTTCCATTTTGATTTTGGGGTAAAATACAGTACAAACTTTCGCCAGGTTTGGTGACATTCACCCTTGAGCCCAAAGTATACTTCATGTTTTTTTTTACATGCTAGTTAGCATATGCACACACTCTTGTAAAGTATACTTCATTTGCTTTGTGCTCGACATGCGCATTCGAAAGATTCATCATTGTCCACTGCGCTTTTTCTCTCCAAACTAGGAAATGCAAAGAAATCGAGTAAAAAATTTGCTGGTGCTCTGACATAATTTACAGCATGTTTATGTAAACAGCAGGGTATACTTGGAGCTTTAGTGTACATGCAAATGAATGCACAGCCTTCCAAAGTACACTCTATATAATTGCTTGGATTTGAAACGTGCATTAGTGTCACTAGCTCTACTTTACTCACAGGATGTTTTTCACCTCAGGTTTTCTCCTTAATTGTATATCGAACTGCAAAAAACATCTGCCAAATGACTAAATGTATTTGTAGGTGGATTTTACACTTGCGTTCAATTACATATACTTTGCAACTTAGGCAAATTTTACGAGGTAATGGTCAAGGCGTTGAACATTACACGTTATTGAAACCACACAACAATAATTCGCCTTTATGTGTGCATTTCACTGACTTTGTATTTAAGTTATTCTCACAAATAATTAATTGGTCTGAATGTAGCTGAATAAACCGCCAACTATTCTGGAGTATGTTTTACACAGCGGACATTCATCTTCATTAGTACCATTCATTCCTTTCCTCCTTCAGAACTTTTCCTCTTGAAAAGATATGAGTGATAAAAACTCATTTGCATTCGTTTAAACTAACCTTGTAGATATTTAAAATTCTAAAGTTTTTAAATTAAATTTTGGTGTTTCGGTTCGATCGTTTTCTGACTGTAAAAGAACACCCCAAATCCACCTTGTGGACAAACTGTGCAGTACAAAAACAATTCAAAATGAATGTGCGATCTGTGTTTATAAAAGTTGCTTGTTGCAAGCACAGCACAAGAGTACTATTCTGATGCTAAAAGTCATGTCACGCACTTTATGCTAACCGTAGCATTCACATAAAACGTGCAGTATACTGTGGGCTTTACACCGTAAACCAAATTCAAGTTAACATTCAATACTACATCTTTCTCCAGCATTCATTCAGGGACAGTCAAATCCACCTCCAGTGCTATTGTTGGTCCTTTCGGACAAGTGCGCCAAGGCACTGTTGGGTAACAAACCAGGCAGCAGTTTTTATACACAAGATATGTCTTTAAGACATTCGACAAAGCTGTAAATAAACTAAATGCAATCTAAAACTCAGTTCCCCTAAACGAAGAAGTTTGCGATGATATGGCATTCTCTTTTGGCAGGAAAACCTCGAACGAAATACTTGAACAGAACTTGCGCATCCCCAGCATTTGGACATCCACAAACATCAGGGTTTGGCACTAAATCCAGAACAAAGCAAGACTCTAACACAATGCGAGATTGTGATAACAACAGTTAAAATTTCTGTTTCAGTATTTTGGAAAAAAAAAAAAAAAAAACACGCCAGGTCCTTTCCTGTTTTTGGATTTGGCAAGCAAAAAACACTTCACGGCAGCAGAAAGATTCTCATCATGTTTTTCCCAAATATAAATATGAAACTATTTAAGACAGTTTTTTTTTTTTGAGGGGGGGGGTACTAAGACACGTTTCCCATCATGCTCTGCTGTAACGGCACACAGCTGGAATGCACCTCACGATGAGACAGAGAGCCGGAAAACCAGGAGGATGTCAGGAGCGGACCAGAACATGGTACGGATGGGGAACAGGAACACCGAAGGCAGTGGGATTACGATCGTAGAATGAGGTAAATCAAAAATAACTGAACCAAGAGCAGAGCTGGCAGCGGACAGTGTAAAGAGTGAGCGCTGCCACACTGTGATGTGTTCTCCTGCAGGAAAACAAAGACAAACCAAGAATACTCAGGTCAACACAGACTACTCAAAACAAGTGGTTGGTTGCTAGGGTGTTGCTAAGATGTTTCAGTTTGAATTTAATTTAAGACATTACTATGAGGCTGCTTAAGTGTATGTATGTAAGAACTCTGATCTGTGTTATTTTAAAGGCTCATGCACACAGGGACAACTTCTGCTTGCTTTTATCCCCAATGTTCAATACCTCGTGACTAAATAAAGGGCACTAATGTGATCTGGTGCAATCATGTTACGCAGATTCTAACTATTGGTGAAAGTGAAGGACTTAGTACTCTTGTAATGGAGGTCAGCTAGTAAAGTGATGTGCAGGAATACCTCATTCCTCTGATTGAAAAAAAAGGTGCTCTAGCCATAGACACTAGAGGTAGTGGTTTTTTGCCTACTTGTTAAAGCAGGGGTGCCCATTCCTGTTCCTCTAGATCAGGGGTCACCAGTCTCGTTCCTGGAGGTCCAATGCCCCTGCAGTCTTTAGCTCCAACTTGCCTCAACACACCTGCCTGGGTGTTTTAAGTATACCTAGTAAGACCTTGATTAGCTTGTTCAGGTGTGTTTGATTAAGGTTGGAGCAAAAATCTGCTGGACACCGGACCTCTAGGAACAAGTTTGATGATCTCTGCTCTAGATCAAAGGTGCCCAAACGTTTCCTGGAGGGCCGGTGTCCTGCAAAGTTTAGTTCCAACCCCAATAAGACACACCTGGGCTAGCTAATCAAGCTCTTACTAGGCTTTCTAGAAACATCCGTACAGATGTGTTAAGGCAAGTTGGAGCTAAAATTCGTAGGGCATCAGCCCTTCAGGACCAAGTTTGGGCACCCCTACTCTAGATCTACCGTCCTGCAGAGTTCAACTCCAACCTTGATCAAAAACAACCTACACCAACTAAGTAGAATCTGAAGGAGCACTGGGTAATTAAAGACAGGTGCGTCTGATCAAGGTGGCAGCTGAACTTTGCAAGATCTGTAAAGATTGATCGCCATTAACATGATTGGGCACCCTTGTGGTAAAGTATTTGCCTCTCATAGAAAGAATCACTGGTTTGATCCCAGCTCAGAGCCAGAGTGTGGCGTAGGACAGGTGAGTTACTCTCGGAGCTATGTTCAGGTGCTGCGTAATATAATTGCTCCTGCTGCAGCCATGATATGGCAGCATAGTTCCTTTATTATTATGCTAAAATAAAAGTATAGTTCCTAGCCATATCAGTGTAGAAAATAGCAACTTTCCATTTTTTGTTGCTCTTAGTACACAATGTAACTACAAAAGAGTCCAGCTTTAAATAGGAATAATGTCAAAATGTTAAGCTAAGAGTGCTCCCGCATGGAAAAAGTGGAGTGTTCCTTTAAAACAGGGGTCACCAATCTTGGTCCTGAGGGCCGGTGTCCCTGCAGGGTTTAACTCCAACTTGCCTCAACACACCTGCCTGGTTGTTTCAAGTATACATAGTAAGACCTTGATTGGCTTGTTCAGGTGTGTTTGATTAGGGTTGGAGCTAAAATCTGCAGGACACCGGCCCTCCAGGAACAAGTTTGGTGACCCCTGCTTTAAAAGACTTGCCAGAATGTTACTCTGTGTCTGCTTGCTAGGAAGTTTTGGAGGCTTGCCAGGATGCTGGTACTTACTTTTTTTTATTCCCAGGTTCTGCTGGTTGATGCATTTGCCGAATTTTCCTTGCCAGTTTTAATCGTTTGTTTTGTGACAATTTGGAATTTCCCCGACCATTGCAGAGCCCGGAGGATCAGAGTTAGCTCCAGCTTGGCCCCACTCTGATCCTACTTAAGGTTTCAGAGTGGTTGTCAGGATGATAATGTGATGTTAATGTGATGATGTTAGCCCTCCTAAATGATTATAATAATGTTGCTATTTCACTATTACATTTTTATTACATTTTGATTGGCTACATCTATGGCAGTGTGGGTCAGGACCCCCCGGGTGGTGGGGGAGGATGAGGGGAGGTGGCGGTTTCTATTAATGATTTCCAAAAATCTAATTCATTTTATTAAATTATTAGAATTACCATATTGTTCCATAACTTAGAGAATAAAAAACAGCAGTTAATAGTTATATTAAAAAAACAACATGGAATAAAAAATTATTTTGCGACCCCCTTGGGTGATTACGATATATTTAAGTCACAGCACATTGATTTTTCTGGCACCAGGCTAGACTTCCTGACACCTTTACGGCACTCACGTACATTAAAAACAAATATAGTTCACAACTGAACATGGAGGATGGTCTCTGTGTGGGATTCTCCAAAATACATGATAACAGACTTGGGCCTATTGGTATGTGTGCGCTGTTGTGTGCAAGGTATATATATTAATAACCACCTCAGAGGATATTGGAGGTCACTAGTCACTGGCATTGTTATTTTGGGGGTCGTGGGCAGAAAAGTTTGGGAACCCATGTTGTTGCCAAAATGTTTTCCTGCAGTTGATAGGATGCTGCTATGCAGTAACTAGGTTGTCAAAAGGATGTTGTTATGCCATTGTTAAATTCTTGCAGTGTAGTGTTCCCTTTGGTTGTCTGTCTGCTGCATTGCATTTGCTCAGGAGTTTGATTGCTTGGATGCTCTTGGTAGTTGCTAGGATGTTGCAACCAAGTTGCTAGGATATATAGGCGACTGCTCTGGATGTTGCTATGTGATTGCTTAGGTGTTCTGGATGATTTCCAGAATCTCGCTGTGCAGCTACATTATTAATGGTCTCTTTAAGCAAGGAAGCAAACAAACTGTTAAATCAAATCAGCAGATGGCGCTTCACCTCTGAGTTGTAGTCGAAGCATTTGTCAGGTCCTTTCCTATAGCGGGCCGAGTTTAAGACATCACATGGGTTTTCTTCTTGAGCTGTAGAAGAAATATTAAGGAAAACAAGCTCCAACTGTCATTCATCAATCATGTAGACGTAGATGACAGCAGCAGGGTCTGTACAGGTGCTGGAAATTACTGTAAATGCTTTAAAATTTCTCCAGGCTTGAAAAGTGCTTTGATTTTTGGATAAAATGCTTGAAAGTTTTAAGTTGATATTAATTTATATAACTAGATGGTTTCCTGTTTAAACAATATTAAAAATGTGTTTTTTTTTCCGTTTTTTTTCGCATAAAATGAAAACTCGGACAGACTAATACACTACCAGTCAAAGTTTAGGATCCGTTTTTTTTTGTTGTTTTTTTTTTGAGACAATTATTTTTTTCATTAAAATCTGTTCACATTTATTAAATGTAAAAAATACAATTAAATTGTTAAATATTTATAAAAAAATTAAGTAACTGCTTTATTATTATTTTTTTACAAGCTATAAACTTTAAACTAGCGCACAGGTGACGTAACTGTTTAGTTGCAGCCTTTTAGTTCTGTGCAGAAATGTGGTGTTGAGAAGCCTTTACGATTAATTAACCATGACGAATTAAAGCACAATTAATAGTGAAATCGGTTAATCATTGCATCCTTAGTTAAAAGTAAATGACAGTTTTTCAATGTTGATATAAAGCTCTGGGTAAACATCTGATGCACTGTGATAAGGATGTATGTATGTGTATGTAAATATGTAAAATACCACAGTTGTAAAGTGCTGAAAATATGCTAAAATTTGGAAATGGAAATGGTAAGAACCCTGCAGCTGCAAACAGCGTAGGTGTAATGTAAGCAGGGCATTATGGGAAGAAAGGATACACTTGGTTCTGACAGGCAGGAGTTTCTCGATCTCGCAGGAGCTGCAGGGCAGTGTCTCAGCCACCACAAACAAAAGGTTTGTGTTTTCTATACGCTTGGCATGGAACAACCTGACAGAAAGAGAGTTTGTGGTTAGAATGCTGACAGAAAGTGACCCTGGTTATATGGTTAAAAAATATTAATCACATGAATGGTAAAATCTTGATTAGAATACCAAGTAATTACATTAGAATACCAAATAAATATCATGCTCAATGAAGATATTTAGTAAATTTCTACCCAAAATATACAAAAACAAAATTTTTGATTTGTAAAATGGATTGCTGGGAATTCAATAATAGTTGAGAACTTAAAAACAGTTGTATCTCTGATAAATATCCTCCTATCCTTACAAAGTATAAATCAATGGAAAGCTTATTTATTCAACTTTCAGATAATGCATAAATCTTAGTTTCCAAAATTTGACAGTTTTGTGGTTCAGTGTCCAAATGATCTACTATTATTTTTCTTAGACCCTCTTTGGAACAAACCATATATTACTTTAAACACACACCTGGAGCAGTTGCCGCAGTCCTGCAGGACGTTGAAGGAGTTGGTGGTGTTGGTGAAGTAGAACTGGCTGTAAACCGTCACACAGCTGCTGCTCCCTTTACTGTCTGCACTCTCAGCCCAGACGTCTGCTGGAAGACACAGATGTGGATAATGCAATCCCAGAAAGCTTGTTTATGAAGTATAAATAGATCATGCGCAATTAAATTAAACTCAGCTTTGTGTTTATTGAGTTTGGAGTACTGCTTTATTAGTTTAACACCACACTAATGTAATTTAGGCATGGACCATATGACACAAATCTCAAATCTCGATATAAATCATCTTATATCCTGATCACAATATAGACCACAATATAGCACAATTACTGTAAATTTAATTATTATGGTAAATACATTGAAATTAACATAATTATTATTTTTATTTTAAAGGGGAGCTATTATGTCGCTTCTTACAAGATGTAAAATAAGTCTCTGATGTTCCTAAAGTGTGTATGTGAAATTTCAGCTCAAAATACCCCACAAATAATGTTTAATAACTCTTTAAACCTGCCTCTTTTAGGCTTTAATCCAAAATGTGCCATTTTAGTGACTGTCACTTTAAATTCAAATTAGAGGGTGCGCTTTACAAAAGAGGGCGGAGCTACGCATGCCTATGTGTCAGCAAAGTGGCAGATTAAAGACAGGACTGTTATCTCTATGAAAAACTGAAAATGTCAAAAGAAGTGACTCAGAAGAAGGAAGTCTATTTAGATCAGTCCTAAAACTTCACATTTATAATCCTGTTGCTGACATTATCTTCAGCAGGTCAAAACTCTGATGGTGAACGGTTGCTTCTCATTTAGGGCTGTTTATGCTAATGAGAGAGACTGTAACTAATGCTAAAGGGTGAGGCTTTCCCCCTCTCATGACACATACATAGAGAGAATGTCAATCAGACTGTTTTTAATCAAGTGTGATTGTTAACATAAATTAATTTTTTGACCATTAGATAAACATTTTAATATGTATGCATATAAAATTTGTTCACAATTTCATGGTCATTGCAACATGGATATATAATAGTATTTTAGTAGGTCTTAACAGCTGAAACATGCAAAGATCTGACACACAAAGATCTGACGTGATAAAATAAGAGAAACACAAACCTGTGGTGAACCAGCTGCTGTACATGACTCCATACAAGAACTGCTGCAAAATAGACCTGAAAGAGACAGCAACTTCAACACATGAGTGCCTGAAACAATATCATCAAGGCATGAACTTTGATAATAATAATAATAATAATAACAATAATAAAATAATAATAATAATAATAAATAAATAAATAATAACAATAATATTAATAATAAAAAAATTATAATAATAAACTGAATTTATAATGCAATTTCTTTGAACTCAAAGCACAACAACGTATAAAAAGAAAATAAGAAGCAATCAAAGCCAAAATGAGAAACTTACATCCTAAAATCACAATAAATCACATTGGAATAATCAATAAAAACAGTAAATTAGCAAAATTACAAATAAAAATGATTGATAAAAAAAAAAAAAACGCTTTAAGAAAAAGATAAGTCTTGAGGATTTAAAAAAAAGAAGCATCTTAAGGAAATAGCATTGCTAATAAAATTGGATTAACGTCTAAACTTAATTAAGCTCAATGTCTTTCTAATAACCAATAGGAGACATTTGTCCTGGTTGTATACAGGGAGCACACAGAAGATGGAGCAAAAACATTAAAAGACGATTAACATACAACCTTAAAAATGATCAGAAACACAGATAACAGGAACAGCCAAGATGGCGGAATAACAAAGGAGTCACATGATCAAGCATGAACACATTTCAAGTCAGAGCTAGAAGATACATCAAAAATAAACCAAAACCCAAAATCTTAACCTATAACCAATATAATTTGCCAGGGCAATTACTTTGTTTTTTAAATTCTGTTAATAACATCCCTTTGAAAATATATTACAATGTGTGGACAAACAGAGCGCTTGAGTGTTTCCATGACATTGAAAAAAAAAATCAGTTAAATTATATTGTTTGTTGCTTGGTTTATTTGGGCAGGAACAGTGAGATTTAAAGGCAATCAGTCCCACGCTAATGTATCCTATGCATTTTCCCCATGGAGCAAAAGTTGTGCCAATATTTCACAACATCAAGCATCGCTCGCTTACAGTACTTTTCTTCAGCTTATTGCCTGAGTTAAAAGGGGTCAAACTAGTGCAGAGGTGTCAAACTCAGTTTCTAGAGGTCACAGCTCTGCACACTTTAGTTCCAACACTGCTTCAATACACTTACCTGGAGGTTTACAACAAGCCTGAAGAACTCTATTAGTTTGATCAGGTGTGTTTAATTAGGTCAAGGTCAAGGTCAAGGTAAAATTTAAAATTTATAATATATATATATATATATATATATATATATATATATATATATATATATATATATATATATATATATATATATATATATATTAGGCTCAAAGCTAATTTATATATATATATAATTTATATATATATAATTATATATATATAATTATTATTTTTTAAGGGATCATTTCTTTTACATTAAAACTGAAATCTGGCCTTTTTTCACAAGATGACTTCAGTTTCAAACAATTTGTGCTTTGATTTCAGTCATCTTCAAATAATCAAGTTCATTTCCAACAATTCTAATATCTTAAAGAACAGAAACATGCTCTTTCGCTAGACAAAGACCTTTGAAAGCTGCGTATGTTTACATACAAATTTATTATAATCTAATAATTATACTTAATTTAATAAATACTTACATCAAATTTAGATTAAAACTGAAGGTCAGTATTTATGCATACTTTATTATTTTCAATAATACATTTTTATTATTATATTATATTTATTATTATTATTTTTTAATTAATATTTTTACTTGTTGTATTTATCTATTATATTACTTTACTTTCCTATGTATTGCTTGTATATTGTATCTTTTATTGTAAATTGTTATGTAAATGTTTGTTAGACAAAAATTTGTACGCAAATGTGTTTGAATATTTCAAATAATAATAATAAAAAAAATAATTACAGTAAAAATAAAATAACTGTTTAATAATCAAAATCAAGGTAAAGTGTTCAGTCAATTGAGGTTTTGATTTTACGTCATATCATCCGACCCCATTTCGAGGTAAAAAAAAAAAAAAAAAAAGACAAAACTTCCTGACAACATTATAGCAACATTTTTTAGGCGTACTCACCACGCGGCTGCAGACGTCCACCAGGCTAGGCTGAGAAAGTCCGCTATGGAGGGCTGACAGGAGAATGAAAGCCTCTTAATCACAGGACACTTCAGAATGTCATGACTTAAATCATAAGTGATTCATTATGTAGAGTTCAGTGGACTGAATCCTTTTCTCACCACGTAGAATCCTCTGTGTGCGGCTCCTGTGTGGCTGCTGGCTGTGGGTTCGCAGGCCGACTGATACTGGAAGGTCTGATGACGGGAGTAGATTGAGTTGTTGTAGAGGGCGAACATCAGGTACGGGTCGACCTCACCGAAAAACAGCCCAACCTCAAACAGACATGAAGACGTTATGTATTTTGGTGAATTTAAAGTACTTTCATACTAATATAATTTAATATATTTATTTAACTTACTGACATTGTGTAGATTGTATAATACCTACAGTATATATAAACTTATTTAGTAGCTTACATACAGTATGTATATATATATATTAGGGATGTAACGGTATCAGAATTTCACGGTACGGTAATACCTCGGTATGAATGTCACGGTACGGTATTTATTGAATCATTTACAGGAAAAACAAAACTTTTGAAAATACTCCAAAAAAGTGGCAAAAGTGTCAATGACATACAAATTAGTCATCTATCTGTAAGCTTTGAAACAGGAACTTCAATTTTAATAACAAAAAATTATTAAACCATGTAAAAAAAATAAAGTTTCAATTTAGTATTGTTGAAAACTCATCACATTCAACATTTAATCACTCACTCACTTACTTAGATAGAGATGGGTTTAAAGGAAAATTATCATATAACTATAATCTGGTAAAAGCTGGTATCTCTGGGTATTTACAATGTCCCCTGCAACAGAAAAAAACCCTCTCATCTACCTTCTTCCAGTGATCTCTCTGATTGGACATCACCAGGAAACCGCCATCATCGATCAGATAGCACAGCAAATCCTGAATAAACACACAAACAAAATCTACACTCATACACCAGATCGACTGACATGACAGTCTGTTTTCATGCAAAACTCAAGAGTGCAGGTTTTCTCACATCGCTGTTCACTTCACAGTCCATCTCACAGGATCTGGACGGGCCGCACTGCTCAACACAAACAGCACATTAGTAAATCTCACCATAGACAAGTCATGTTTTTTTAATCTTTTGTCAAAAATATCGTACCTTATGTGCGGCCTGTCTGCTGTCGGACACGTTGCTGGCCAAGATCTTGAACTTGTCGACCCAAGCCTCCAAATCCAGCTTAACGCCGACCACTGAAAACACCAACACAAGATGAAGACAACCAGAAAACAATGTGATGTGCAATGATGTAGCAGATTGTCCAAGACTCTCTATGATTGCAGAATTGAATGTAAAATCGAGTAAATAAGATCAAATAGTGCTTGTAATCTTAAGGTTGTGGGTTTGATTCCCAGAGAAGGTAAGAACTGGTTTAAAAAAGTGCTCCTTTAATACAATATTTTTACACAAATGCATAAAAATGTGCAATAAAAATTAAACAAATTTTAGAGGTCGCATATTTGCTAAAAATTTCTGGCTGTGTGTCCACCGAAGTGTTTTTGCGCTGCATCACTTTTTTTCAGCCGGTTGCATTACAGTTATTGTGGTGTTGACAGTTGCACAGTATAGTCCCGCCCCTCCTCCACTGTGATTTGATGGCTATGTAATATAATAAAGCTATACAATAAATACATATAATGTTTAGACTATGTATTCCTGGTTATTTTATTTGCAACAAAGATGTAAACAAATACATAAAGGTGAAGTATATCTAACTAAGGATCTGAGAATCCTTGTAACTTATGAGTGTGTTGCTTCAAGAAAGAAACCGGTTATTTGTGTTGTGTTTTATTTTCATTTGTTTATATTCAATTATTCTTCTTTTAATTGTTTTATTTAATTGTATGATCATTAGTCATTTATATAATTCTCATTACATCATTAGTGAATGTTTTGATTATTTTTGATTATTATTTGACATTTTATTATGATTTTATATTTTAAAATTACTATTTCCTATAATCATTGCTTTATTTTTATTTCATTTTATTGCACGTTGTTATAATTTTATGACTGTGTGGATTCAAGCAAAACTTGTTTTCAAGTATAAGAGATGAGAGAATGTCCTCATTTCAAGGTCTGTATTGTCTTTGGACAATGTTGTGAAGCAGTAATTTTCCATTGCGGTTGCTTGTGGTGTAATAACACTAGTTGGATTTATCCTGTTCAGCAGAGTCTGAGCGTTGAATCATACACAACTAAGATTATTCAATAAACTCTGCTCTTTCTTTATCATCATTAATTCATCTTCTGCTTTTGCTCTTCTCTGGTTTTCTTAGTCAACTCCTATACTAATAGAAGACTGAATACTGGTTAACAAGTTTGAGTATTGGGTGGCTTGGCTGGCTTGTTGTCTGGATACCCAGAAAAGCAGACATTTTACGTCAGAGAAGACAGAAGCTAGATTTGATTTATCTGGCATAAAGAGTGTGATCTAACAAAGATAAAGAAGTACATAAAACTTTTTCATTTACTAACATGACATGAAAACGGCTGAAATAAATTACTAAACCTACAAAATAGTACTTTGACAGAAACAAATACTTAAATAGTTTTCCTAGGAAGTTCGTTTATTATTATTATTATTATTATTTTTAATAAAAATAAATCAATAAATAAATAAAAAACTAGGCCAACACTTTATTTTAATGGTCCATTTGAGGATTAGTAGACTGTCTGCTTAATATTTGTTGATACTGCTGCTAAACAGACATTTAACTGACTATAAAAAACTTTGCAAGTACATGTCAACATACACTAACCCTAACCCCAACCAAACAGTCTACTTATAATCTAATGAGAACTAGTTGCAACTTAAATTCAACAAACAGACCATCAAAATAAAGTGTGACCAAAAAGGATATGTATTTTTTCACTTAATACAATATAAAATGTACTTTAAATGAAAGAAAAGTTTTTCTTTTCAGTGTATACAGTAAATCAGAGCCCAGTGGTTCTTGTGGTCAAACAAATGTAAAAGATTGTAGATCAAATACTTTCAATGCAAAGCAACACAAGAAATGCTGCAGTTATTTCTGCGAATTTGAAGAAAGATGCCATAAAACCAGTCATTTCCGGTCATAAATATCTAAACAAAATCTCTCTCTCTCTCTATTTGTACTGATTACACACCTGCAGGCTTCATGGTTTTGCTCCCAAATGCAACCTCTACGGCGGTGGTAACCAGAATCCCCACAGTGCCATTCTCTGAGATCAGCAGATCATCCATCGCTAAACACAAACATTACAATCAGTAACATGAGAAAAAAACATTCACACTGAGATAATTATATACATATATATTTTTGATTCACATATACTAAAGGATAAAGTCAAATGGGACCCAATGACAAAATGCATTTCTTTTATTTTACAATAGTGCTTTAGAAAATAAGTGGTGTTTGTTATATAAATCTATAATTTAATGACTGCATATTAAAATAAATGACTGATTATGGCTTGTGTGAGTAGTTATGTCACTATGGGCGCTGTAATATAATTATCAACACCTGTAATTATTCATTTTCAGAGCTCTAATGTGATATTTATAGTAATTACCAGCTGCCACATTTATGATACCGGTATATTATAATTATTGTATTTTATCAGTGCTGTAATACTGAATTAATATCTGTATTATACAGCAATTAACACTACACTAATGAGGTGCAGCTTTGTTATTTAGCAATGGGGATTTGAGGATACTTCATTCGAGCGGGAAAAAAAAGGTGATAAATGCTATAGTATTTACTGCATTACACTTTCTATAAAGCTCATACTTATAATAAATCAGAACTCATAACTATTTATAATTATTTATTATCAATCATAACAATTTATAAATGAATTTATTAATACACAACAAATGTCATACTGTACTATAATGCTAGTTATAGCTACTATTATAATAGTGTTATTAATAATGATCAGTGCTGCAATTCACTTTTCAATGCACATGCTCATAACGCATTATACATGAGTATAATGTATTAATTAGTCAGTTTTCAGTGTATTTATAAAGATGGAGTCTGGAGTGTTAAGCATTGTTATGTTATAGTTACACATGTTATGTTATAGTTACAAATACTTGGTTGAGTAATAATGAATAATGTATAGTTAATCTAAAATTCTAATATGGACACTATTAAGTATGTAATATTTAAATTTTTAATTCTCACTATGATTAATTACTGCTTTAATATTTAGAAACTATGCTGAAATCAATAACTAATTAGTATTTTTAGTTGTAAAAATTAAACATTATAATATAATATAATATAATATAATATAATATAATATAATATAATATAATATAATATAATATAATATAATATAATATAATATAATAATATCATATAATATAATAATAAATACAATATTTAGAAATTATGCCAATATCAATATCAATAATCATTCAATCAATAAATTTCAATAATCTTTCAAATCATTAAAGCATCTTTTTCTTTTTTTGGTATAATATAATAAAATACAATATAATATAATATCATATGATATGATATGACATGATATATGATACAATATAATACAACACAATATAATATAATTGCAGCACAGAATATAATAAAATAATTATTTATTCATCGCTCCAGGGAAATTCTAAATAAATTACTTATTAATCTTCTCTTACTTTATTCATTTTGTTGACACTTACCAGTGACTTATCACCTGCCTATTATTATCAAGATTTTGGCTGTTTATTAAGCACATATACAAAGCCATATCATAAATCACATATTCTACATGATCTTTTTCTGCATCCCTAGCCATAACCAATGCATAAACCCAACTACTACCTCAATAACTATTGATGAGCAGCATATTAGGAGTTTTTTTTAGACTAAAGTCATAATTAATGGTTCATTAATTGTATCTCAAAATAAAACATGACTGTAAATTTTAATCATTTATTAATAATTGAGGACTCACAGGTTCGTGTCGGCGCTCTGAAGATGTAGCCTTTGTTATCCAGACTGCGCCGGTAGAAGTTTGAGTTTAGTGGTTCAGGATCTTCATCCCATGATTCAGCCGCCCTTAATTACACACACATATAAGCTATCAGATTCCTCTTATAATCATACAGTAACTTAGTGTTTATTAGCTCAGTGGACTCACATGTTGGGGTAAACACGTGTGACGCCTCCATTGGTGGACGCAAACAGAGCCAGAAAGCCATACCTGCAGACATCAGATCACCTGATCAACAGCTGAATGTAAAAGCACAGTAAACACATGTAGATTATGATGGTCTGATCTTACGTGCCCAGGTCTTTATTCTGCCAAACGCGTGTGGCGAGCTGCCAGAGGATCCCGGAGTCCAAGATCAGGTTATGAATGAGACCCTGATCACCTGAAATCAGCAGACAAACCATCATAAGGTTTGTCACCACATTTTAAAATGTGTATTGTTATTATTTATTGTTAGCTGATGATTTGTTGTTTATTAAAAATTTGTTTTGCTAAAAATTTTCTGTCTTGTTTCTAGTGCAAATATCTGAAAACTCTTAAATCAAAAAGTATCTTCTAGACAAGCAAAACTAAATGTCTTGTTTTAGGAAGTAATATGTCAAAATTAAGTCAGTTTTTATTTAAAACAAGTTAAAACAAGACTTTAAATCTGCCAGTGGTGTAAGCCAGTCATCTTGTTTTTCTTTTTGGCATAAAATGATTTTGTTTACCTCATTGGCAGATTATTTTGCTTGTTTTAAGGAAAAACTCACTTAATTTTGTCTTCTTATTATTGAAAACAAAACAATGTGTTTTGCTCGTTAGAAAATGTTTCTTGATTTAAGAACTGTTAGATATTTGTACTCAAAAACTAGAAAGTTAGGTACGTCTATACTACTGTTTACTTGTGAGTGTGTACATTTCATTATTAATGTTGGGTAAAAGGTAATAGTGTAGTAAAAGAAGTAAAAGTAAAAGTAAAATTTTCTCTAAATTGTTTAAAATTATAAATGGAGTACTATTTAAAAACAAGCAAAAAGTATATGTATTGACATTAGTATTGAAGTACATAGGTTTCATGTCAAAACCTTCATACAACACTCTAAAGTCTGTACTTTCATATTAGCAGTAAAGTATACACTTATTATACATACAGTTGAAGCCAGAATTAATAACCCCCTTCAAATGTTTTTCTTCTTTTTAAAATATTTTTAAACGATGTTTAACAGAGCAAGGAAATTTTCACAGTATGTCTGATAATAGGTTTTCTTCTGGAGAAAGGCTTATTTGTTTTATTTTGGCGAGAATAAAAGCAGTTTTAAAATTTTTTAAACACCATTTTAGGGACAATATTATTAGCCCCTTTAAGCTATATTTTTTATCAATAATCTACAGAACAAGCCATCATTATACAAACACATGCCAAATTACCCTAACTGGCGTGGTTAACCTAATTAATCTAGTTAAGCCTTTAAATGTCACTTTAAGCTGTATAGAAGAGTCTTGAAATATATCTAGTTGAATATTATTTATTGTCATCATGACAAAGATAAAATAAATTAGTTATTAGAGATGAGTTATTAAAACTATTATGTTTAGAAATGTGTTGAGAAAATCTTCTCTCCATTAAATGAAAATTAGTGAAAAAATAAACAAGCGGCCTAATAATTCAGGGGTGCTAATAATTCTGACTTCAACTGTATTTGGCACATCATCTAATTATGCAAATTGGGGTACAGCTTATCGGTGACATCACCAGGGGAATAGATCACATGTAGATCTGGAGTTTGACATTTGAGCCATTTATAGAAAGTCATGTCCCAGAAATATAAATTAAATTTGTATTGCTATATTTTAAGCTGCAATATCTTACTCTTCGTAAATAAAAAAAGCACACAAAAACTACTAAACATATACTTTTACTTTTCTTAAAAGGTAACAAACACATCCAGTTATTGTATTAAAAGTGACTTCAGATGATAATGTATTACTTTCCTGCCATCACTGTTCATAATCAGAAATGTGATATTTTGTATGTGATATTTAAATATTAATAACTCAATCGGAGCTAATATATTAAAAGATCAGTACTGCAGCTGTATTAATTACTAACAAATCTTGAAATACAATATTTAGTGATATTTTTCTAATAATGATTTTTCTAATCAGTAGAATATAGAATGATTATATTTTTATTATTATCAGAAATATTTTCTGATTACATCTGCAATAATTAGTGGTGTATTTTGTACTATTAATCATATTTTTATTTTCTATTTAGACCTGTAATATTTATTCTTATATTCTGTTATACTTAGTAATAAATAATGCTTTTAAAATTCAGAAAAAAATTATATATATATATATATATATATATATATATATATATATATATATATATATATATATATATATATATATATATATATATATATACAATGTAATATTCTGTATTATGTATTTAATATGAAATACTATTGTTTTTATTATGCTGTATCATTCTTTTTTTACGATATTTATTTTCTATTATTTATTAATCAGTACTATATATTAGCACTATGATGCATATATGAATTAGTCTTTATAAATCAATATCACAAATATATATTATAGTTGTAATATTTGTAATATATTCTTTGAGCTGTAATTTGTCATTATTAGACCCATAATATTTTTCTTTTTCTTCTGCATGGATTATTACTATAGGTAAAATATAGAAGTGAAACTATGTATCAAATATGAAACTCTTTATTTAAATACAACTTCAATATTTAGGAATAGATCCTGTAATATTTAATTTCCATAATAGTAACTTTAGAGTTTGACCACATCAGTTCTATACAGTATTTAATATAATAAACCATACATTTCTAATATTTCATTATTAGAGTCAAGTGATGTTTAATAATGAGCATTTTTAATATTGAATCACTATTGTTTTAATATGTAATATCTATATGTAATAAACATAACTTACAGTCTTCAGACTCCGGTGAGATCTCCACCATCAGAGACAGGAAGTCCACCAGGAACTGTGTGTTGTTTTCAGAGATGTGCAGGCGCCTGCAATAATCTCTACAACCACAAACACAGCCAACATGTCAAATCTAACAGTAATCTAACATCATAACTGATGTAAAGGCACACATAATGTACAGTACCTGGGAGCGAGAAACACATGACCGGCAGACTCGAAAGAGTTGGGCAGCAGAGACTGTAAATCTGAAAGCAAACCCGGACAGATTATTCAGGATGAGCTCTAATCTAACACTAAACAGCGTGTGTATTAACTGAGCACTCACACTGCAGCTGGAGCATGACATCACTCAGATCAGCTTGGATGTAATGTTCACTGTACGGAGGCAGTACCAAACCTAGACTGCAGAGGGCGGCATATCAAACAAACAATTAAATAAGTATGTTTATCATCGCAAATATATGATCAGTACAGTTAAGTCAATCAAGACATACCTGTAGTCTGTGTCGTTGATGGGCGTCCAGGTGTACATCCGGGTGACGTCGTCAATGTAGCGCTAAAAACAAAAAGTTTTAACGTAAAAAATTACTAAATTACATAAAACCTTTACATATAACTTAAAACTACAAAAAAGTTTTCACATAAACATTTACTATTATGTACAAATTTTACATACTACTTAAAATGATAAAAACAAAAATAACGTGAAACAACATTTACTATATTACGGACAATTTTTACTTAATAATTAAAAATATGAAAAAAAGTTTACATAAAACACTTATTATATTACTTACAATTTGTAAATTTTATTTAAAACTATGAATAAAGAGTTTTTATGTAAAATACTTACTTTATTACGTACAATTTTTACTTATTAACTAAAACTACAAAAAAAAAAGTTTACATAAAACTTTTACTATTACGTACAATTTTTACATATTACCTAAAACTATGAAAAAGGTTTTTACGTAAAACCTTTATTACATTACGTACATTTTTTACATATTACTTAAAACTATGAAAAAAAGTTTTTACGTAAAACATTTATAATATTACATACAAATTTGACATATTACCTAATACTACGAAAAGGTTTTTTACGTAAAAGATTTACTATATTAATGAATTTTTTTTTACATATTACCAAAAATTATTTTTTTACGCACAAAATTTACAATATTATATACACTTTTTACATATTAGTTAACTATAAAAAATTTTTTACGTAAAAAATAAATAAAAATGCATACAAAAAAAACCTCAAAGATTTCCTTCACTTTCTGGTATTACTGAAAGATTATAAACCAAAATACTTTTTAAAAGTATTTGGTGGTTTTAAGTACACTTTATATCGTGAAACAAATCTTAGTAATAACATACTATTTTTGCATTGACACAAGTTTTCTTTTTTAGCAAACATGCAAATAAATTATATATTTTTTTGGGTTTAGGTATATAGTATATATTTGTTGCTGTTGAAAAATATATCTGAATGCAATGCATTTTGTGGTTGTGCAAGTGATTTGTGGTTTTTAGACATAGTTTTGTGTCATAACAGGAGTACTATGTTACTGTATATTAAAACGTATGCACTATAGTATCAGCAGTGAAGTACATACTTTTGTTACATTACATATTCAAAATGTATGCATAAATAGTTTTTACACTAATAAATTGATTTGTGGTTTCCTACTTTGTAGTATGCATACATAAACTATATTAAGTACATACTTATAATAATATATTCAAATTGAACTTAAATTCTACAATTTAATTTATATTTGTGGTTTTAAAACCATTTTACATAAAAAGGACTATTTTACTATATAAAAGTATGCACTTACTTTACAAAGTACATACTTACATTAAATATTGAAAATGTAATTAGAAGCTAACATTTTCAGAGCAAACAATACATTGCTTTGTTTGTCAAAACTGAAATAATATCTTACTACATACTTAAGTATGTAACTAAAAATTTTATCAAAAAATTGTGTACTTGTATTAGATATTTAAAAAATTATCTACAAAAATTTAAATGAATATATTTAAACAGTTTCTCTAAATTGTTTTACATAAAAACTGGAGTACTATATAAAAACAGGCAAAAAGTATGTGTTTTAACATTAGTAGTTAAGTACATATTTATTTAAAATGTAGTTTTATGCTACAATTTTCATTCTAATTTGTCGTTTCGAGATGTAGTTTCATGTCAAAAGCTTCATACAACACTCTAAAATCTGTACTTTCATATTAGCACTAAAGTATATACTTATAATACATATTTGGGACATCATCCAATTATGCAAATTGGGGTACAGCTTATCGGTGACATCATCAGGGGAATAGATCACATGTAGATCTGGAGTTTGAAATTTGAGCCATTTATAGAAGTCATGTCCCAGAAATCACACATGTCCTACTTTCATCAAACACACACACACACACACACACACACACACACACACACACACACACACACACACACACACACACACACACACACACACACACACACACACACACACACACACACTTGCCTCGTCCATTGATTTAATTAGAGTTTTAATGGTCATATCTCCCGATCGGCCGTCAATCATCTGCCGGCGAATCTAGACAGGAGGAAAAGCAGATGTTGAAGCGGCGTCCACGATCTGACGAATGATTGAGTTGAACATCATATTTAACACATGAAGTCAATGTGCCAGATCTGCCCACACTGAAAACAATGATTCATTTATTATGAACCACTGAGAGAGAGAGAGATGCGGGTTCAATGAGGACAGTCTGTGTTTGAGTAAGTAAAGACTGAACCTCCTGTTTGCTGCTGTCTTCCACTTCTGCATCCAGAAAGTCCAGAGTCACCTGCTCCGGTAAATCCTCTTCCTACAAACAGACAAGCCACGGTTATCATTAGCTATGTATGTTTCTATCCAAAACTGTGAATTAAATTAATGCACAAAACTGGAATATTGCATAAAAGACGTGTAATTAAAGCGTTTTCTATTCAATTTCTAAAAGAGAACAAAATCGTCACATGATCACATGATCTGTTATAAGAAAATCACATGACTTTTTTAATGCACATACTGGAATTTGTTCGGTAAAAGTGTTTTCATCGTAGTTTATGCACATCTTATCTTATCAAATAAAAAGATTATCCCACGCAGTTATGCACATTGTTTCCAAATTGACGCGCTTTTTGGCAGTTCCATCCACCGTTTTTTTATGCGCATATCCCAAATGCGAATGAAAATAGGTGGATGGAAACATAGCTATTGTAAACTCAAAATAACACCTTTCACTACTTCATATAAAATAAACAATGATTGAAAATATAAGTGAATATATAAATAAATAAATAAATAAATAAATAAATAAATAAATAAATCTCTGCAACTCAACTAATCTTTTTGGTTTAGTTTCAGTATTAAAACTATTAAATCTCAGAATTTAAATTGAAAAAGTTCAAAGTAATCAGATTTTTTATTAGCGATGTACCGAAACAAAAGATTTGAGCGCAAACCAAAAAATCTGAATGAACTGCACCTGGTCGAAAACCGAAACCGAAACTGAAACCAAAACTAAAAATGCTTTGTAATAGTAATTTTTTTAAATGTATGTAATATCAAATAATTTGTAAGTTAAATTGACCTCATTAAAAGGTAATAAAATAAACACATTTTATTGACAGAAAATGAGGCGAGGGGTACCTGCGCTGTTATGACAGCACAGTAGCACAACTGCATGCAGCAGGAACAAGTATACTACATAGAAATGTTTTGTCAGCACATTATTTGAGTCAACTTTGCTTTACTATTGTTGAGCATGTACGATTAATGCAGTGGTATCCATATTTTTTAACTTTGACCATGGCGCACACGTAATCTAGCTGATGGTGCGCTCAGCAACTCGTGCGCTTTAGTCGATGCCGCATCAAACCACATGAAAGGGTTTCATAGCGCATGGCTTTCTTTTTCTCAGCTCATATTTCTGCCATTTTGGTCAAATAATTTTCATCTCCAAAAACTATCATTAACTAAAACCATAACAATGTTTCAAACCATAAAAATGTTTCAACCAAATTAAAAACAAATAATTAAAACACATTCAGCAAGTTCCCAAGTCAACATTTATCTTTTTAGTTTAGAACAAATTTAAGTGCTTAAAAATCAATACAACTCATTCATTCATTTTCTTTTCGGCTTAGTGCCTTTATTATTGTGGGGTCACCACAGCGGAATGAACCGCCATTAAAACAACTCAAAAAACAAAAACAAAAGTAAGTAAAAACTAAGTTATTAATGTTAAACAGAATTAATACAATTATATAAATCTTAATGTTATTGTAATAAATTTTAATTTGTTTAATTAGCTAAAATTGTACATAATACATATAAAATACTAATAAAAACACACTACAAAAGTAGTGTTAAAATTAAAATGAAGAAAAAACAAAATAAAAACATGAATAACACTACAAAACATATCAAAGTTGTTTTTTAGTATCATTAGTATAAACAACGAGAAGTATGGAGGAATCTAAAAAAAGTTTAAAGAGCATGTCATTTATCATTATTTGTTGTCATGACAATGAGTGTGCTGAGATGCAGACACAAAGATAAGGAGAGTGAGAGAGTGTGTGTGTGTGTGTGTGTGTGTGAGTCTCACTCGAGGCTGCAGGTTTGGATGCATCAGCACGTATCCGTTCGGGTCAATGGCGAAGATGTATCCATTGGCTCCGAGCTACACACACAACAGAGAAACACACTGAGATGAAGCTTTCTGTTTCACAGACTTGCGGAATGCACAACAGTGCTAAATATCAGCTTTTCACAGACTCCCACTGATATAATCACAATATATAAAATAAATCAACAATAGCAGTCATATGCAAAGAGAGGTCATGAACTGAGAAATGTAGATGCAGTGTTATTAAATAATAAAAGCACTCTCACCATTAAAAATACATTGGGGTCAACATCCTTTTATTGCAGTTTATTGCTATGAATTTTTAATGTAAACTAATAATGAAATATGTATTATATCAGGTACAGAAAAGCAAAATAGTAGGGGTATAACAGATCACGGTGACCCAGGATTAAAACCTTTTATGCCTCCCGTGTCATTCAAATCACGTATATGAAAGCATTTTGGCTTTCCTGTAAAATATAACGATGACAGAAAGATGTTGTGGTGGGACCTAGCTATTAATTGAAGATGTTCTCTGTCACTGCTTTTTTAGCCTGCATTAATGTATTCAGTGTAAAGCTGTATAATAAAACGTTAAAAGATCATGATCTCAATTCAAACCCAACATGAACGATAAAAGATAATGATTTGCATAGATTTTTAATCTTTCGAAGCGCTGCATTCAAATTTGCGTTTGATCAAGAGAGATTCAGTTTATAAACTTTTTCCGTGAGTTACAAACAAATAACACAGAACATCTGGAAAACAGTTTATAGTTCAGATATAAACACTGATGCTTATGCTAAATATTAAAATCACTGTTTAATAGAACTTTACGCTGGTAAATGTTGTAGCAATGTATTACATTGTGTAACCAACAGTAACAACAAAAAAAAGACACCAAAATTAATTCACCGAATAGGTTCTTTCTTGATTTTTATTGTTATTAGAATTACAAGTTCTAAGATATGTCTGTTGAAACCAACGGTTTTTGCAGTAATATTTTTGTATAAATGGAAAGCAAGTGACATTTTTCTCCTCCTTTTTTGTTTATCCGAAAAATGGTCTGATCCGTGACTCATAAACAATAGTGTGATCTGAACTGTGAGATTTGTGATGTTACATAACTACTAAATAGATAAATGCATATTATTATTGTTATTCATTCATTCATTCATTTTCTTTTCGGCACAGTCCCTTTATTAATCAGGGGTCGCCACAGCGGAATGAACCGCCAATTTATCCAGCATATGATTCACGTAGTGGATGCCCTTCATGCTGCAACCCATCACTAGGAAACATCGATGCATACACACACTCATACACTACAGTAAATTTTTAGCATACTCAATTCACCTATACCACATGTCTTTGGACTTGCGGGGGAAAGCGGAGCAACCGGTTGCCACAGCATCTCCCATTATTATTATTATTAATTATTATTATTAACAAACATATTTATAATGTATTATAAACTCATTAGGGATGACTTAGGATTTGAGAGAGAAGTCTTCACCTTGTACTGTGGTGTGAGTCTCTTCAGCTCGTCCAGATGAACGTCGACCCCCATCACACCTAAAATCAGCTGATTCTGAACACACAAACACAGCACTCACTGAATATGAGGACAGTTTACTGTCAAGAAGATGATGATGAAGGTGATGATGAGGATTCTTCAGTTATGGAGCATCACCTGAGAGTCCCCGTTCACAGTAAGGTTGAACACCGGCATTGTCCCTGTCACCACCAGACCCAGACCCTGATAATACACACAAACAAACTCAACACACTCAGACAACTCTTATTGTGGCATCACACAGACAGTTTAAAGTCAAAATAATTCGCCCTCCTCTGATTTTTTTTTTCTTTTTTAAATATTTCCCAAATATGTTTAACAGAGCAAAAGATTTTCCACAGAATTGTTTTATTTCGGCTGGAAACAAAAGCAGTTTTTAATTTTTTAAAAACCATTTTAAGGTCAATTTTATTAGTCTCTTTATGCAATATTTTTTCAATAATCTACAGAACAAACCATTGTTATACAATATATTACCTAATTACCCTATCCTGCCTAGTTAACCTAATTAACCTAGTTAAGCCTTTAAATGTCACTTTAAGCTGTATAGAAGTGTTCTGAAAAATATTTAGTCAAATATTATTTACTGTCATCATGTCAAAGATAAAATAAATCAGTTATTAGAAATGAGTTATAAAAAATATTATGTTTAGAAATGTGCTGAAAACATCCATTAAACAAATTGAGGAAAAAAAATATTCATGAGGGCAAATAATTCTGATTCCAACTGTATATTTCACAGTCAAAAATGTGTAGGAGACTCTCACCAGGGCGTCCTGATAGACGTTTGTCCACTGTACTTGTTTGGCGATTCTGCCTGCCAGAACCATCGGGCGACCCAATACATCCAGATATTCCTGACACACACGAACATAATAAGGCAAAATATGAGTTCATAAAAGCTTGCTTTTGCAATTGTATTAAAGGGCTGGTTCACCCAAAATGAAACATGTGCTATTAATTGTTTATTCTCATGTCATTTCAAGCCACCTTTGTTCATCTTTGGAACACAAATTTGAAAGATATTTAGATGAAACAAGAGAGCTCCCTTATCCTCCATAGACAGCAATGCTCCGAAGGAATGTTTTGACAATGGTTCCTTTTCTGAACTTTGAAAGTCTCTGGATCATTGCTGTCTATAAATGATAATTTCATGAGGGCAAGTAATTAATTAAAAAATTTATTTAATAACATTGAAAAAAATTGTATTTAAATTTTTGGGTGAACTAATACTTCAACACTAGGCAACATGGCCAATAATTAAATACATGTAAATAATATTTAATAAAAATAATAATATTTAAAATAAATAGATAATACAAAATATTACTATATAAAAATAAAACTTTAGAAAAATAAATAAATACTTTAAATAAATGAATGTACATATTTTTGATAATTTTGATAACACATCTCAGTATTAAAGTACTGTATTTGCTTTGAAACACAAGATTTCTGCTTGTTTTAAGGTACAAAGTATCATAAAATTAAAAAATATGACAAAAAATCTAAGGCAAGGCAAGGCAAGGCAAGTCTATTTATATAGCACATTTCATACACACTGGCAATTCAAAGTGCTTTACATAAACAAGAATAAAAGAAACAAGTAAAATAAAAATAAAAACAAATAATAAAAATGTGTAAAAACAAAACAAAACATAAAAACAGGTAAGATGTGATATAAAAGAATGAATCTAGTTGAAATGTTCTAATTAAATGGATTTCTTTTTCATAAAATGAAGATTAGTAGAAATAATAATTTATTTTAAGTCAATTCATTTAATTCACATAAAGATTTGATGCACATAAATCATAAACAAAAAGATTCACAGAACATTTTAAGCATATTCACTGAAATAAATGAAGTGTATCACTCCGCCTAAATTTGTAATTCAATTTATTTATTTTTTTGGCCAAATTATGTTGTTTTTGTTTTAAACTATTGATACAAACTCTTGTTGTTGAATTTTAAATCAGTTTGGATCATAGAACTGAAGTGTTTTGATTCTCTCATACTTGTGAGATGATAAATATTTATGAGAGAACCAAATGAATGATTCATTTAAACAAACACTTGTGATAAGAGAAAATTCAATATGAAACATTTTAATCAATTTCATTTACAGTCTTCAAGCGTTTTGTCGATCTTATACTGAGATTGTGTGACAATTTGAGCAAAGCACATCACATAAAACAAATCAGTCACAAATAAATTCATTGAACAGTTGTTTTACTCCTGAGTTTGAATTTTGAATCACAAAGACTTTGCTTATTTGTTGTCAAATCATGAAACAGTTCAATTACAAGTGCACTAAAATCAAATCAACATTCACAGCATTCCTTCGCTTTGTTCTCTCAGCCATAATAGAACTCACATTCATATTTGTGTTTGTGTGAGTGTGTGTCTGAATAACTCACCTGGGTGTTAATCCTTATAGCACAGATGGAGCGGATCTCAAAATAGTATCCTGCCGAGACAGAGAGACGCTCAAAGAGATGTCACATGTATATCTCAACATGCATCGCCATATAAATCAACTTACATAACAAAGGATATATAGACATATGTTTTCATATTTCAGTGCATCTACAGGAAAAAACTCTATTAGCTGGAGTATGTGAGCGCAGCGTGTGTGTTTTGCCCGAAGCTAAAAGAGGATTTTGTGAAAGTCTCAACCAGTGCTCCATCTTGGAGGATTGTGTTCAACCAACAGACCAATCAATCTTTTTTTCGTTCAGTGAAATACAGTTACTGATCAGCTTTAAATATAGTTTGAATTGTTTTAGATATAAAATTGAGCTTATATATAAAATAAACGCCTCAGTTTTGTGTAAAATGCTCATTTAATTTTAATGTTTGTAAATGCACTGTGGTTTTTTTATGCTTATTTTATGTCTCTCTTTTCTTAGCAGACATTTTGTAAAGCACAGTGGCCAACTGCTGTTGTTTTTACTGTGCTTTGTAAATGCATTTGATTTTGATGTATGTTTTAGTGACAAACTGTACACTTTACATGTTCATATCGGTTTTATATCTTCTGAAGTCTAGTTTTGTCTCTGTTTTGGAGCACACTAGCTTATAGATATCCTTAAAACTAACATCGGCGCAATAACCTAGTGCAGTGGTTCTCAAACTTTTTTCATCAAGTACCACCTCAGAAAAAAATTGTTTCTCTAAGTACCACCAAAATGAGCAGTATTGAAATACAATAGCGTAAAAGGCCCAGTAAAACAGCTACAACTCTGCACAGTTAAAAAAAGTGGCAGATTACCTCAGAAATATAGGCTAAATGTCATATATGGCATATTATATACATCATTTTTGATACAATTTTACATGTGTGTAGCATGTACATGACATACTTCTATCCTCCGCATACCACTAGAAGGAAGCCTGCGTACCACTAGTGGTACACGTACCACAGTTTGAGAACCATTGACCTAGTGGTTAATGCGCTGACATATGGTGCAGTGGCACCAGTAGCATACTTTAGGACCTTAAACTACACATGAAATTAAAACTAACAATATGGACTTTGTTAGCTCACATTGCCAATTTTGTGGTGAACAATACAGCTGCGGATGTTATTAAGAAAAAAAAATGTTTGCCCCTGTAATCTTAAATTGGAATCTGAAAAAATCTTAAAGTTAAAGTCTCAGATTATGTGTGTCTGAGGTATTGGGCATGGCTAACATATTTAAGCACACCCCTCCAACTGTCAACTAGCCATGCCCACTGTTTTCTCATTAATATTCAGTTTCTATAAAAACTGCATCACAATACAAAATACGCAGCTCCCGGGCCATGTGGACTTTAAAGCGGCAGTCACACTTTACTTTCCACTCCATAGACTTTCATTCAAACTAATATGAATTCAGGAGACTAAAAACTCAAGCTCATGCAACAAATTTTGCATGTCGCTGCATTCCAAAGTTTAAGCTTGGTGAACTCAGATCTGCAAAACCGCATCATGTGATTGCATGAGACCAATCGACGATCAAAACGTGACCTCAGAAATAAAAACCGCTCGCTTTATCAATGCCTAATTATCTTGTTTTATCCTGCCCCTTTTGACAAATATTGATGACAGAATATGACTTTCACAAGCTCATACTTTAGTGTGACCATGGCTAAACCCACTAGTGTGTGGAATCTGGTAGTTTTGTTTATAAAACGGCTTAACATGTATATCTGTATATGTCTCTTGTTGTCTAGTATATGCTGTATTTTTATTCTTAATATTAAGGGATTTAAAATCACTTTAAAATCTTTCAAAGTGTTATTATCCCCCATAATTTGTAAAATAACCAGCCTTTGAGAAAAGCCTGATGTTACTGTGCCAGTTTGACAGACTGCACTAAACTGTGCCCAATTCTACTCGCCACGATTTCTGGTTCATCACAGGATAAATAACAAACATGCAATAATATTTTTCAATTTCAGCAGATTTTTATGTAAGGGTTTTTCTGTTCAACAAAACTGGAATATCACATTTATACAACTGTATGGAAGGTATGGGGAGACTTAAAATGTATGTAGGTGGAAATTATAGAAGAAAAAAAGGTATTTTGTCTCCCTTCAGCTGCAATATAGACCTTTTTCACATTTTTGGGTTTCTCAGCAGGCAAAGTCACTACAGTTGGGCAAACGTTAAATTTCAGTAAATAGGAGAGTAAAAAAATACATTTCTTTACAACTTGCTCAAATAACAAAAGTAAAACTCTAAGATAATGCTTTTGGCGAAAATATAATTGTGTGAGACAGCAGCCAGTAGAGAGAGCAATATCAAATTCACTTATTTTGTTCACAAATACAAACAAACCCCAAAAATAAACATGATTTTTTTTTTTTTTTTAATGCAAAAATGAGGGAAAACAAAGTATACTTTTTTAAAACTGACATATTAGACAAGTTAAATCTGTTAAAACATGTCATCATCGTCTTGTGAAAAGGGTCAACTGCATAGATATGATAGAGGCACATTTATTTTTTTCCTCTGTGTGCTAATGTGCTGGAAACAAACAGTTAGCAGAAAGTAATTTATTACATAAGAAAAAGACTCCGGCATCTTCTCAGACCAGAGTAAATTCTGTTTTTCTTTTTGATACTTGTTGCCAATTTATCAGGGATTTACGATTTGATTCTCTTTAACTCATTGAATGAAAACGCTACATTTTGTTTGCAAATTTTTTAAACAACATTCCAGAAATAAATGTAATTTGCATCTTCGAAAGGAAACAGCAAGCGTGTTATGTAATTTTAGAAGGTTTCCTGTAAAATTATATCAAACTTTTACACCTCAACTGACTGTAAGTATGAAAAGCTTTTTGATTTTTCTAGGCCAAATTCAGGCAAATCCGTCGTAATTAACCCTATAGCATATACACAAAAAATTAGGGGGTGGGGGGTGGTAACTTAATTGTTTTTTGTTTAATCCACATAAATTTGTAAAAACCATTAAATTAACTTAATCATTTTGTGTTGGGACAACATGTAGGAATTGCCTGGAACTGTTACGAAGTGGACGATGTCAAAAGATGTGCAGATCCACATACAGTTTATTAAAGGAAAGATCGTTCAGGCAATGGTCAAAAACAGGAGCATAAAGGTAATCCAATAAATTTAGTCAAAATACAGGCAAAAGGTCTGGTTAGGCGGCAAAGAATCAATACGGTGAACAAGGCAAGAATCAAAACACGGGAAATCAAACAATAAAAAAATGCTTCATAGTGTTCATAGAAACAAGACTCAGCAATGTGAATGTGAAAGTGAAGTGTATATATATTTCCATGTAATCAGTGAAAACAAGCTACAGCTGTGTCTGTGTGTGAGTGTCCGGATTATTGTCAGCTGTTGCAGAAGTTGATGGGTGCAAAGAGTTCTGGGAGTTGTAATTTGTTAGGAATACCTGAAGTAATCTCCAGTGGAGAAAACACCGGGAACCCACCATTTTTTTCAGTGTACGCATGTAAAAAAATTCTGGGTTCCACGCAATATATTTGTGTTGGGAAAACATGAAGGAATTAAGCTAACTAATTAGCTTTTACAAATTTAAGTGGATTGAACTGACAAAATCTCAAGAATTGTGTTGTTTCAGATGGTTTTAAATAAGTAATTTGGGCAAGCAACTAAAAATTGTTGAGTGTAAAGGGAGAGAAACACTGACATGCCAAAGATTTGTGATGGAGTGGTCATGGAGCGCGAAGCGAGTATAGTGAACCCAGAATGAAGCCATTATGAAATGCTCTGGGCACACAGTTGAAATTCTAGCCACTCCACAGTACTCTGCAGCTAGCATCTCCGCTAAATGAGCATGTGTCTTACCCTTATTAGAGCATGCAATCCACTGCAGCGGAGTGACATCGTAATTGTGCTGCCCCACCGAGAACGTGAACACGCGGACCTGCAGAGACCAGTGCACATCCCACAATTACCCCAGCAGATTAGACAGCAAACGAGCGGTTTCACTGGAGGAAAAGGGCTAATTACGAGGAACACACACTTCAAGTTGACAACAGCACAGCAGAAACACACAGAGAAACAGGAAGTCATATCTTTTTATAAAATAGTAAGTAATGATGAGACCGTCTTATTAGGCCAGTTGTACTGCTCGAAGATGTCCTGCGCTCGGTCCTCTCCGCCGTCAGTGAACAACATGATGATTTTATTACAGTTGGCTCGAGGAACGTTTGTCTTCTGCAGGACAATGAGAAACAGGAGCAATGCCAGAGTTATGGATGTGACATTTGCAGTCAAATATCAAAAGATAAATTCACATAGAAAGTATATGAAGAGTTCAGATGCAAAAACCTCCAAATACCATCTAAAATTTTCTTCTAAAATGAGCTTTTTTATCAGGCTCATGTATGTAGGTTCAGTAATTTCCCTTTTATGCCAAAAATAAGTTATTTTCATGGTCTTTAAAGTGAAATAATTCAACATAAACATAGAACACTAAAAAAAAAAATGTAAAAAAATTTAGTGGAAATTTCAAACGGCACTTAGAGGTTTTTGCAGTTCATATGTAAGTAACAGCTACCTTAATTTCTTGTTAGTACATGCTTGTTAATTAATGTATCCAACATGAAGTTGTTAATGTATAATTATACCATGGCTTTACTTGGAGGGGCACATCACCATTAAATTATCCTTAACTACTCATTAACTCCAGTGTTTAAACTGTTCATGTTGATGTTGACTGAACACTTTTATATTGTTATTCAGTGTAAATGCACTAGATGGACGTGTATAAGGAGTTCATGAGTAGTTGACTTACGTTCAGGAGCTGGTTGAAGGCGAAATGGAAGCCGGATTTGTAATCGGTGGTCCCTTTGGCCTGCATCTGCTGCACAGCCTCTTTGAAGATCTTCTTATTGCGCACATTGGCCTGAACCAGGTGATCGAAACAGGGCACCACTGCCTCTGCCTTCTCATTAAACTACCACAGAAAGAGAAAATAGAGTTTAAAGGGCACCTACTTTACCCCTTTTTCAAGATTTAAGATGTCTTTTGTGTCTCCAAACACTGTGTCTGTAAAGTTTCAGCTCAAAATACCCAGCATATTATTTATTATAGCTTTCAGAATCTGGGAAATGTTAGCTGTTATGAGACTGTAGCTGTTTTTGTTGCCTCTGCTTTTAATGCAAATGAGCTAGTTCTCCCCGCCCACTGTTCCCACATGCATGTCAGATCCATAGAGATCTCTCACTATTGCTCTGATGGATGTAACCATCTCCTGCTGCATCTCACATAGATAAACAGCACAGTGACTGACAAGTATAAAAATAGGTCTTCCTTACTTCTCCTCTCGCTTATTCTAAATATATAAAAATGTTATATATTTGATATTTCTGCAAGCTGAGAGTTATGAGAGGATATGCACACATTGTGAATGTTATGAAAAATAAGACAGCATTTATTTTGACATTTTTGCTTTTCAGTAGACCACTGGTCTAAATACAATCCATAAAAAAAGTCAATTGAAAACCAGCAAAAAAAATGCATCATGGTATGTTCATAATAGCTGACTTACCCTGGCCACGTTGACATAATCATCATCGGAGAGTGTGTCGAGCATTTCTGTGACCGAAGCTTTGATCAGTTTTAATGTGAGCCCGCTGACGCTGCCGCTCCTGTGGAGGGAAACATCTTAAACAAACAAACCAACAAACCAACAAATAAAAAAATGCCAAATGTGTAGTTTCTAAATGACATGCACATACTCACACGTCTACAAGAATGACCATGTCTTTGGGTGACGACGCTCCTTGAATGTACCTGAGGAATACAAGAGTGAACAAATAAATATTTATATTTAAGCCCCACCCACAAACGTTGACTGACTTGTCAAAGACTGACAACTTTTCTTAAACAGCTGTGGATAATAGATCTTTTAAATTTTATTAACTAAGTGAATTTATATATTAAATGAGTAAATAAATAAATAATTTCTTTAAAGAGGTCATTTTGTTAACTTTTTTACAAGATTTAATAATATATAACATACAAGACTCTCCACATTGTGTGTGTAAAGCCCCAGCTCAAAATATCTCACAGATCTTTTTTTTTTATTCTTTTCTGTAAATAGCTTTTACTTTTTTTAATGCGAGTCTCTTTAAATGCAAATGAGCTGCAAACTCCCCGCCTCCTCTACAAATAAGGGCGGAGGCACTTTAAAGGTGGTGACTTGAGCTGCTGTCCAGACACGGAGATGTGCTCCTTTGTGTTCAGCCTTAGTTTTGTTGTGTATTATTTTGTGTGTTTATCTTAATAAATTCCCCTAGACCAATCCATTTGTATTTTCCCTCATTGATTAAAGGGATAGTTCACCAAAAAAAAAAGAGAAAAATCTGCCATATGTACTCACCCACCATTTTTTCAGAACCTATTTAAGTTTCTTTCTTAAGTTGAAAACAAAGGAAGGTGTTTTGAAAAATGCCGGTTGCTGCAATCCATTGACTTCTATAGTCATTTTTATCCTCATATGGAGATCTATCGGCGCCATTAACCAGATTTATTGATCTTCTTTTGTGTTTAACAGAAGAAAGAAACTCATAAATGTTTAAAACCATATGAGGCAAGAGTAAACGATGAAGAAATTGTCAATTGTGGGTGAACTACACCTTTAATCCTGCAACCACAAAATATCTGCATGTGTTTTAATGTCTTGTCAGTTTAAACTCCTGATATATATGAGCACACAGACACAAGGTCAACACGATATTTGAAACTACCGATTTTAAAATGTACTTCAACAATAGTGTCATTGACATTTCTTTTTCCTAAGCAAACTTGATGCATGAACCATATCATCAATGCTGGAAAAAAAGGCTTAAATATACAGAAAGAGCTTTACCAGGGTCTTCGTCGTACATCATAAAGGTCGATCTTATCTGGCGCTCTCCAGGGAGCAGCTAAAAGACAAAATATATAACAGATTTTGGATTTTATTTGGATATTAATAACTCTCATCCCTGAGAATGCAATCTGATAGGCTGGTTTTACCACATATGTAAAGCATACCGTGTTGGTCTTCAATCAGAGAATTGGAAACACATTTAAAATTATACCTGGGTAATATCTGGTGACACCGGTGGCACTACCAAATGCTTGCCAAAGCAATGAGGGATCATCTCTGCTGTTCTCAATGAAGACTCGCTCTAGCGCCTGCGTCCAGTTCAGCTCATTCAGAATCACTGGAGCTACATACACACACACATATATACACACACACGTCATGAACTCTCACTGACTCTCGGAAGACATCCAGCATCAGTCTGCTTCCTCACCGCCTTTGTAGATGTCTGTGGGGATCTGGACGGCAGTGTGCGAGTAATTCACTTGGTTTTTGAAGCTTGGGTCGTACACAAAATCCAGTTTCAAGGACATCTGAGAGTCAATGTCCTCACCGTCCTTATGAAGATAAATGATACAATCACATATAAATGATATTCCACAGTTTCAGCTCGAGTATGACCGTAAAATCATTGTAACATGGTGATAAATGAACATGCAAAATAGTCGTTTTGGAGTTAGAAGTTGATCCAACCAGTAGGGGTGTGCGATATTGATGAAACATATACCCTGAGGTTTTTTGATAATGATCATTTAGCAGTATTTGGTAGAGTGTGTTGGACTGCGCTAATTATGAATAAATCAAAAATATACAAACAAATAAATAAATAAATATGAAACAAAAAACACCAGTAGGAGGTGACAAATCCCTGTCTTATGCTGGATTCACACCAAATGCAGAGTGAATATGCGCATCACGTGAATGAGCGCATCACTCAGAGTAGAATTCTCTCGCCGGATGTTTTTTGCAAATCTCATGCAAACTTTTTTTAAACCAGAGCCAGATGACATGATTAAAGTGAATATTGCTTGTTTGCGGCAAATGTGTCACATATTTTGCATCAATTGCACTGCCTTGTGCAGATTTGTCCCTATTTGTGTGTTTACATTGACTTTAGATGTAACCTACTTTCGCCAATACCTAATCTTGCATTTATTAAGGTCTTTTGAAAATAAAAATTTTTCAAAAATGTTAAGTGTGTTAAAATGTGCTGGTTACGGATAAAAAAAAAAAGAAATAAAAAAATTTATTTATTAATTCATTCATTCATTCATTTTCTTGTCGGCTTAGTCCCTTTATTAATTCGGGGTCGCCACAGCGGATTGAACCGCCAACTTATCCAGCAAGTTTTTACGCAGCGGATGCCCTTCCAGCCGCAACCCATCTCTGGGAAACATCCACACACACATTCACACACACAAAGGACAATTTAGCCTACCCAATTCACCTGTACCACATGTCTTTGGACTGTGGGGGAAACCGGAGCACCCTGAGGAAACCCACGCGAAGGCAGGGAGAACATGCAAACTCCACACAGAAACGCCAACTGAGCCGAGGTTCGAACCAGCGACCCAGTGACCTTCTTGCTGTGAGGCGACAGCACTACTTACTGCACCACTGCCTCGCCTAAATAAATAAATAAATAAATAGATAAATAAATAAATAAATGAATAAAAAAACACCAGTAGGTGGTGACAAATCCCTGTCCTAAGCTAGTTTCACACCAAATGCAGAGTGAATATGTGCATCACGTGAATGAGCGCATCACTCACAATTTTTCTAACCTGCGCCAGAACACAAGACTGAAGTGAATACTGAGTATTTGTGGCAAATATGTCACACATTTTGCATCATTCACACTGCCTGGAGTAGATTTGTCCCCACTTGCGTGTTTACATTGACTTTACATGTAATCTACTTTCACAAATACCTATTTTTGTGTTTATTGATGAAAATGTACCTTGAGGTTTTTTAATAACGACAATGATAATTTAGCAACATTTTGCAGAGTGTGTTAGACTGTGCTGGTTATGGATAGAGAAATAAATAAATATGAAATGAAAAGCCACCAATAAATGGCAACAAATCACTGACTAGTTTTATAAAATCTTAATAATATTTATGACCACTCTCCTTTCATGTTTTTTTAAGCTAACAGCTCTCTTGCTTTTGTGAAATTAGCTAAATATATCATACTTAATGAACAGTCCTTTCATAATATTTAAAAAAATCTAATCTAAGGTATTGTAGTTTATAAAAGCCCTCCTTGGTAATAAATTAATAATAGAATTTTTAAATAAATAAATAAATAACCCATGCCAGAAGTTTTTTGGCATATAGAACTTGAATTATATTATTATTATTATGAAGATGATGAAATGATGACTGAAATATTGACAAAACCACAATAATAAAATGAATCACATCATCAAATACCGCACACCTCTAGTTACCAGCTTCTAAAAAGAAAATGGTGTATGAATGCGTGAATATTTCCTAAAAACATATCAAGAAAGCATCATTTTCCTTGACATTACACATTTGAACTGTCTGATATCATGTTTGCTTTTACATGAGCGATAGATAGAGATGTACTCACATAATCCATCTCTGCTTTAGAGTTATAATACTCAATATTTTCCTCCTGAAATAAACGCACACAGAACAGAAATACAAAGAGCTGCTGTTTGAATGCAGTTCGAGAGTCTGGAGATTCATAAAACATATGATACACATGACAAACTCACACTCAGATGAGCATATGTGTGTGTGTGTGTGTGTGGTTGGTCCAAAGCTGAACAGCTCTAATGAATCAAATCAGTCAGAAAAACGAGACGTCACTTTCTATTGGGCTTCAACAGAGCCTCAGGCTACAGACTCATGAAATCATGACTCACAGCATTTGTGTGTGTAAAGCTCGTATCTGGATCAGGGAAACACCAATGGGAATATCAGAGGAGGAGGTTAGATTGAGTTACACAGATGGAAAAGAATGAGGAAAAAAGGGATACGCTCGATTCAGGAATGAAACGCTCAATTGATGCGGTTCATTTGAATGAATCAGATAAAAAGAATTAAGAGTCATAGGTCAGAATTGACTCAGATGACTCGCATACACATGCAAAAAAAAGTAATGTTAAAAAGAGAAAGTAAAAGTCTGGAGAGTTTGTGAATGTGAAAATTAAAATAAAATAATTGTGTTTTGGTCATCTGACCTTGATTCCATCCTGCCAGCGATGCTCTTTCTGAAGACGCTCCGCTTCACTCGCCAGTCTCTGAAGGAACAACATGGATCAGAACAGTCAAGATTAATCTCAAATGAAGAGTGTGTGTGTGTTATCTTACCTCCAGCGCTTTGCGTTTCTTGGCAAGCAGTCTCTCGATGTCAGTCGCTACTTTCTCTACAATGTCTCGAGGGTTGTTTCTGACCAGACTGAAGTGCTTTTTCTTTTCCAAGTAGATCTGAAACAACATCAACATCCTTGGTAAGAATTTTTTTAAGAACTTTTTGTCTCACTAAGGTTGTGCTAATCTGACACTGGTGATATATTATTCATTCTTTCATTTATTTTCCTTTGGCTTAGTCCCTTTATTTATTAGGGGTCACCACAGGAGAATGAACCGCCAACTTATCCAGCTTTTTTTACATAGTGGATGCCCTTCCAGTTGCAACCAAGTATTGGGAAACACCCATACACTCCCACATTCATGCACGCACTCATGCACTATGGCCAATTTAGTTTAACCAATTCACCTACTGTATAGGACATGTCTTTGGATGCTAACTGGTCCAGCCTGGATTCAAACCAGCAACCTTCAAACCAAGTCATCGTGTCTCTAAGGATATTTTAATCTAATTTGAAATGAATTTATTCCATATGTAATAAAAATGATTAAGTTCCTTTAAAAAAAATCACCCAAGATTTTAAATATTTTAATTTTATATATGCCGACATAATGATAAATGCACGAGTCTATTTTATTGTTTCACATTCAAAATGTCAACATATGAGTGAAATAATTCAGCATAAGATATGTGTTTTTTGTAAAAGACACAACATATTTTCATGCATTTATTTAAATGCATAAAAAAACTGTGACAATACTAAATATGATACTTTAAGTTACTATTGATGAATGGGTTAAAGCGATTGATTTGAAGATCATTGGTAAAGTATAACAATTTAAAGAGCAGTTTATATTTAGCATACACAATGAATATCCCCAGAATTAGCTTAAATGCATCTAAGACAAAAAAATAAAAAATAAAGATATTTTCACACAATCTGTATTTAATATTAGAATAATTGTGCAATTATAATACTAATATGGTTCATTTGAATCAATTCAGGGCTTCAGGTCTATAAACCCATCCCTTCCATAAGCCAGCTTTGCTTTGATTGATCACCTGGCCATGTCTGTTTTGATTGGCCCATTCGTGTCTGAAACCGAAATGCCAATTTCAGACTGATTGTATGTCACTAGTAGGCAGGGATTATGCAAATGTGATACTTTGATTGATGTGGATCATTAGCAGGCGAAAATCTGAAAATATAATGATTCATTATGGAAATTTAGAGTCAAATCTTTCATTTAAGAGACAATACCTTTCTTAAACATGCACTTGTTTGATTAACTTTACAGAATGTCTACAATGAAGGACAGCAACCTGCAAATTTAATTATTACATGAAAACCAATTTGACCAGCTCTTAAAAATGAAAATTAATTAACATCTTTAGGGCTGCAATTAAATATTTTCTGGTAGCAGTGTGCAACAATGGAAATCTAAAAAGTGACTATTTATTTGCCATTTTATGGGGGTTTTGTGTAACTCCAACCAGCAACCTTCTTACTGTGAGGCAACAGTGCTAACTACTGAGCCACTGTGCCGCCTATGTTTCATTTTGCTCAAATTTAAATTTGACAATATATTCTACTTATCATATTACGCGACCAGTGTAATTTTGATGTGGAGTGATGTAAACGAGGTTATATTGATCATCTGATGAGGCATCATGTTTACTATTACCTCAGGTCAGTTTCCTTTTTAACAGCTGATTTAGGAAGAGAAAAGAATGCATTAAGCTTTTCTCCTTAAAGACTTCTGACAAAATAAGGAAAATAATCATCAGCTACATCTGATTAAACAATTCATAATGCTGGTAAATATTTGCAAGGCAAAGTCATTGTTATTAAAATACAGTACTGTCATTGCATGGAAACTTTACTGTTATTTTCTATCAAGTTAAAAGTTAAAATTCTAATAAGTTAAAATCAACCCAGGCTCATTTTAATAATAAAGCCCTATATAAATTTCTGGAGAGTGCCAAATATGTCCCAGGAGAATGTTTTTTGCAGTTTGTTTTCACGAATCCACCAGAGGGTGCTGTGTATGCTTTTTAAGATCTAAAATTTCTCTAACGAGTGCCATCCTCACCTGCTCTTCTCGCGTAAATCCACCAGAGGCTGCTGTCGACTGACTGACTAACCGACCAATAACCTCACCGACCACCTTCTCTAAACCCAACCGATGGTGTTTTAAAAAGCACCAATTGACCCATTCACCCACTTCCCTAAACCCAATCGACAATTTTACCATTGTTGGGTTACTCTTTTATACCTGGAACCATAACAACTTTTATCGAAATATAAATAATTATCGTTAAATATGGAAAATAGTTATTGAGATTACCGAGCATTTTTGCCATATTGCACAGTCCTACCCCAGGTATATTTATCCCCAATTTCTGTTTAACGGAGAGAAGATTTTTTTCAACACATTTCTAAACACAATAGTTTTGATAACTCAATTCTTATAATTTATTTTATCTTTGCCATGATGACAGTAAATAATATTTAACTAGACATTTTTCTTCTATACAGCTTAAAGTGACAATTTAAGGCTTAACTAGATTAATTAGGCAGGTAAGGGGAACTAGGAAAGTCATTGTATAATGCTGATTTGTTCTTTAGACAATTAGAAAAAAATATTGCTTAGGGGGCTAATATTATTGACCTTAAAATGTTTTTAAAAAATAAAATCTGTTTTTATTCTAGGCAAAATAAGACTTTCTCCAAAGAAAAAAAATATTATAGGAAATACTGGGAAATTTTCCTTGCTCTACTAGTCATTATTTGGGAAATATTTAAAAAATGGCAAATTATTTTGACGTCAATTATACATACATACAAATACATCCACAATCGAGAAAATAATCATGGAGTGGTGAGTGAACTGCATGACTGTGTTTTAAATTATTAATGCTTAAGGCTGGGAAACCCGTGTAACTTCCTGTCAGATGTGGTGCTCTAAAAATAAACCCATTTTCCAGCCATCTCTCCTGGTGTAAATGAGTGTTTGTGCACCGGCATGAAGTGAGAGACAGCAGCTGCTGTAATCCAGCGGCGTGGCTGAAGACAAGCCTCATTAACCTCCTAAATAACCTCTGAGTCCAGAACAAGAGCTGTTTAGAGCTCTGATCAATACAGGACCATCAAACATACACACACGCACGCTAACAACTCGAACTTTCAGACACGCCATTTAAATCAAGACAATGAGTCGAGATGAAAGGCATGAACTTGTTATTCAAAAGAGAAAACCAAAATAGATCAATTATATTGTAGCCTTTACACGATCCATTACACAACCTTGCATTTCCCAAACAGCAATGACAAAAAAAAGCAGATTCACTTCATATAATGTGTAGAAATACAAACAAACCAATATGTAGTCAGTTTGGCCTTTATTTTGTTTTTGTTTATTTTACCTCCGAGTCATAAAGCTACTTCAGTCCACTGCAAAATGCAGTGCATTATAGAAATGTAAGGAATCATAACCAAAGAAAAGCTTAAATGCATAAAAGCAAACTCTGAGAGAGAGAGAGAGAAAAAAAAAACGTACAGTATGTCAACCGACACAATCACACACTCCTCACACATAGACTGATGAAAGTCGAGGTCAGAGGTCAAGTGTTAAGGGGTCAGCAGCATTAGTTTAAGGTCAGGATGCTTCAGAAGAGATGGCAGTCACACAACGAGTATTTCTGGAGTGTTTCTTAATCTCAGATCACATTAATGGGACAGATGCTTTTTTATTTCAATCTTCATTTAAGGGTGCTCAATCTCTTTTGGATTTATTTTAGCAGACATTTTTTATTCAATGTACCTAAAAAAAAAAAAAAAGACCTCAATCTATTAATTTTAAAGAAGCTGTGCTCACAAGAACTGTAACCAATGTTCATCTCCTTTATTTAAATGAAGATAAAGCCAAGTGCTCACAGATCAGGGGATTTTTCTGTTCCTGTCTGAATGTTGCCAGATCAACTGCTCTTTTATAAGCATATCATTAGTTATTACCAGAAATGTATTGATGTAAATGTATAGTATTACTATGATATCTTGAGGAATAATGCAACTAAATGTGTTGTTATAAGCTTGTATTGATCATCATCTATGAAGTGTTCTGTCTACAGCACTGTGGCATTCTGGGTAAATGAATGACTTTAGCATCAGAGGGGCGAACCATCTGTTCACTCAGAGTGATGCGAGCAAACACACACACATACACAGACACACTTGTTTAGCTATCTTAATGGGGTCTTCCCATAGACCTATTGATGTTTCTACTGTACAGACTGTATTTTCTCTGCCCGTACCCCAAATATACCCCTAAATCCAACCCTTACAGGAAACAATTACCATATTTACATTTTCAAAATACTTAATTTTGTGTCATTTCTGAGTGTTTGCCTCATGGGGAACAACAAAAGTCCCCATAAGGTCAAAATTAACTGGTATCGCTACACTTGTGGGGACATTTGGTCCACACAACATAAGGAATACAAAATAAACACACATACACATATACACACATTGTGTTTTCATATTTTATGGGGTCTTCCTAAAGATTTTTATACTTTGCAAACTGTATATTCTATCCATCTACCCCTAAACTTGACCCTCAAAAGGAAATAATCTGTAATTTTCTATTTTAAAAATACTTCTACATCTAAACTAAATAATTCTTTACTTTAAAAAAAAAAAGCTAGAGTGATTTATAAGGCGTTTTTACTTTTCTGTTCCTCAAGGGGACCAAATAAAGTCCACACAAGATTGAATCGGACTGTTTGTGCTATATTTAATAGTACATTTGGTCCCCACAACATTAGGAATACAAGATACACCCTCACACACACTATAACACACAAGGAGAGAGCTCCAGAATGAACTCATTCACACACACTAACACACACACTGCAGGTTCTCAGTGGGGGAATGGCAGGATCATTATATTCTTATATTCCCCAGCATGGACTGTGCAGGAGTGTGAGAGTTCTTCATTGTGGGTGTTTGACATGTGAGCCAGACCCACGGTAATGAGCACATGTTTGACCGGGATACTGGAAACACACACACACATATACAGACAGACAGAATCTTACCCCCTTCAGTTGCTGAGCGCCACTAATATGCTGCAAAACTCTGTCGATCTCCTGTTCAATGCGTCGAGCCCAGTGCATAATCCTACACAACACAACAAAACAACTATCATCACACAACAGAAAAACAGATTCTTCTCTAGGTTTAAAGTCATACTTCAGTGATTTCTGTCATTGTAGCTCTATAAATTGTGATGTTTTGTGGTATTGCTGCTGAAAATGCAAAATATACTATACATATAAACAGAATAAATATGGTTTATGATGACAACAAACACAAATAGCAGCTTCTGTCCTGGTCATGACTTGTTTTTATCACAGAGGAGGAGTTGTCAATGCTGAAAATGTGTCTGTGGGGTGAATAATGGGACTGACCTTGGAGTGGAGCAAGAAAGTGTCAAAAAGTTGAGGAACAAAAGAAAATAGAGTATAAATCGAGGAGAAAAACTGCAAAAAATTTGATTGTTTGTCACAGCGAAGAACTTTTATGATATTGATGGCACCTTGTGTCACAACAAACACAGAATGTGTACCTTATGTACCAACTCGTCCCGTACCACTTAGTGGAATTGGGCCATTTGTGTATAATCATCTGTTTTGGGAGAAGTGCTTTTCATATGATATGTGAATAATTTTCTCAAGCAAGAATGACGTTGTCTGCAACTTTCTGTCATACTCTATGCTTTTTTAGGCAGTGGAGACACAAGCCTGATAATAGTGACCCGTATCGACCCGTACCATACCACTCAGTGGAAACAGGCCATTTTTGGTACCTGTTGACAATGGAAACGGACATAAAAGCATACCAAAGTATATTAGCGTGAGTGGTACGGTACAGTAGGGATCACCTTTATCAGGCATGTGTCTCTGATAATAATAGTAAACTGAGCAATTCCAATAAGGCCTACGCAACACCAGTGCAATTTCAATAATATCCAGGGGTTGACATTAACACCCGCCAAATGCGAATAGATTTCAGCAATGGCGGGGAAGACAGATACTCCCACAAGCCACTTTGGCTGGTTGAAAATAATTTTCCCGGATAATAATTCTTAAAAGCAGGGTTAGACAATAAGGACAGTCCAATATGCATGCAAAGGCGCAGCATGATTGACAAAAATAACTGGGTTCGGGCGAGCAATAAAAAAGCAGGTGAATACCAAATGAGAGTATACAAATAATGTACAGTATAGTGTGTGAGATGAGATCATCCTTTTATTATTACACGGTATGTTTTTACCTGCTGAAACATAAACATACATAAACTTCATTTGGATAGAGCTGTGCACAACTGTAAACAACATTGCAGTACACATTGCAACTAAACCTACAACATACACAGGTCTGTAATTCATTCAAGAAATTGTTCAATTTAGAAGACATTTTTACAAAAAAAAAACATAAAACCTTTTTTTTTTTATTTCCTTGACAGATTTTGACAACTAGTTCAACATTTTTATCTGTAATGACTCGAGTAATGAAATGAGGACTATTAGTTTTATATGGAGTGACTATTCAGCATTCACAAGTTTAGTTAATTATGACTGACATGACATAAACAAATGAAAATGTTATAAACAGCAGAGACTTGTATGAAAGCAATTGATGTCCAAAAGCATTGGCAATTTGTTGGAAAGAATGAGAAACTGCTACTATGATGTGCACAAATGACTAATTGTTTTGAGAAATGCATGAAATGTTGTGCAAATGTAAATAGTGTTGTGAGAAATGCACTAAAATGACAGAAAAATTATAATTTGTAACCAAAAAATATCATTGTATGACGACAAGTGTATGCACTGGTGTATTGTACAATTTAGTGGAAATAAATTAATATTTTATATATATATATATATATATATATATATATATATATATATAAATTTGTATTGATTTATGAACAGTTGAGTTACTTGGTTGTTATTTTTTTTTTACTTCTGTAATATTTTTTGGATGATACTGATGTACAGCAGAGTAAATAATAACAGATTAAAGAGGTTTGAGAAATCAAGAACATTAGACTAAAGTTAGAGGAACGTTAAAATAACGTTTCACAACTCAAAAACCAAAGCTCCTATTTTTATTAGGAAATCTTTCCTTGCTTACTTAATCAACCCTAAATAAATGTTCTGGAAACCAAAAAAAATAACATTCTCAGAACATTCTGGGAGCCAAAAAAAGGTTATTAACATTATGATAAAATTTTTTAGTGAAAGTCTTTAAATAAGCAAGGCTATACACATTAATTCATTCATTTTCCTTCAGCTAAGTCTCTGATTTATAAGAGGTCACCACAGTGGAATGAACCGCCTGTACATTTTATACTTTAATCAATTCTTGTGTAGCGTTCTGTGGGATAATACACAGCCAGCCCATTAATATTCTAAAATAAATCTCCCCAGAATAACATAAAGACTACACGCTATGCAGTATTACCTATAGCTGACTCCACATTTTTAATGATACATCTATTTGCTGTCTCCCTCAGCAACACTGCAGCGGGTGGATTATACAGTATTTTACATCCCTTGCGAGAGAAAATGATACATCTACTGTCCTCATTCATACCACACGCAGCCTCAGTGACAGAATATGATATGATGTCCCCACAGCCGGCTAAACCGATCAATAGAATCAATGCAGAGTAAAGCGATGTGTTTATACAGTCCACAAACACGCAGCCTACAAACAAACACAGTCCAACAGATGCGGATGAATTATTTAACATCTGAGGGGTCTCGTTCGGCTCCATTAGACCCTCGATTCTGTTACAGAACAGCACGTACGCTTAAATCACAAGCCTGCAGTCTGATCATAAATACATCACCTGTTTCCACGACAACAGATCTGTACGTGATTACAGCTCCACCGCAGTTACGTTATATTACATAAGTTCAGGTCGTCTCGCATCCGTAATCCCGTACTAATTAAATCAGAGCTGTCAATTATCACGAGAGGATCACGTCGAGGGATCTCTGCAGGTCAGGCACTTAATAAGCACTCTTAATTGAAAGCATGGAGAACTGGACACAATGTTTTGGGATGCTAATCAATGTTAGTGAGTGTTTATTATTGACATCAGAATCTTATAGAAATTTAATTTATTGAAAAAATATGCAAATTATTAAATATATGACATGCAAGAAAGTTCAGATTTAACTTTCACATGTTAAAGTTGCATGTCATATATGCAACATACATGAAAAAAATTGCAGTTTGCTTATATATTTATTCAACAATTCGAATTACAGTTATGTAAATCTGTTCAAATACATTAGATGCATATACATCACCGGCCACTTTATTAGGTACACCTTACTAGTACTGTGTTGGACCTCATTTTGCCTTCAGAGCTGCCTTAATCCCCCATGGCATAGATTTAATAAGGTATTGGAAAAATTCCACAGAGATTTTGGTTCATACTGACATGAAAGCATCACGCAGTTGCTGCAGATTTGTCGGCTGCACATCCATGATGCCAATCTCCCGTTTCACTACATCTCAAAGGTGCTCTATTGGATTGAGTTCTGGTGACTGTGAAGGCCATTTGAGTACAGTGTCATGTTCAAGAAGCCAGTCTGAGATGATTCACGCTTTATGACATGGAGTGTTATCCTGCTGGAAGTCAGAAGGTCACTGTGGTCATAAAGGGATGGACATGGTCAGCAACAATACTGGGGTGACTGTGGCATTGCCATGATGTTCAATCGGTACTAATAAGCTCAAAGTGTGCCAAGAAAATGTCCCAAACACCATTACACCACCACAACCAGCCTGAACCGTTGATACAAGGCAGGATGAATCCATGCTTTCATGAATGTCGTATCAGAAATCAAGACTCATCAAACCAGGCAACATTGTTCCAATCTTCTATTGTCCAATTTTAATGAGCCTGTGCAAATTTTAGCCTTAAATTCCTGTTCTTAGCTGACAGGAGTGGCACCCGGTGTAGTCTTCGGCTGCTGTAGCCCATCTGCCTCAAGGTTGGACGTGTGTTCAGAGATGCTCTTCTGCATACCTCTGTTGTAATGAGTGCTGCCACAGAACGGCCACTCACTCAATATTTTCTCTTTTTCAGGCCATTCTTTGTAAACCCTAGAGATGGTTGTGCATGAAATTCCCAGTAGATCAGCAGTTTCTGAAATACTCAGACCAGCCCGTCTGGGACCAACAACCATGCCACATTCAAAGTCACTTAAATAGTCTTTCGTCCCCATTCTGATGCTCGCTTTGAACTTCAGCAGATTGTCTTGACCATAGCTACATGCCTGAATGCATTGAGTTGCTGCCATGTGATTGGCTGATTAGAGATTTGAGGTAATGATCAGTTGGACAGGTGTACCTAATAAAGTGGCTAGTGAGTATTTAAATATATATGCACAGTTGAAGTCAGAATTATTAGCCCCCTAAATTATTAGCCCTCTGTTTATTTTATTCCAAAATTTCTGTTTAACGAAGAGAAGATTTTTTCAACACATTTCTAATCATAATAGTTTTAATAACTCATTTCTAATAACTGATTTATTTTATCTTTGCCATGATGACAGTAATTAATATTTGACTAGATATTTGTCAAGACACTTCTATACAGCTTAAAGTGACATTTAAAGGCTTAACTAGGTTAATTAGGTTAACTAGACAGGAGAGGGAATTTAGGCAAGTTATTGTATAACGTTGTTTTGTTCTGTAGACAGTCGAAAAAAAATATAGCTTAAGGCTAATAATTTTGACCATAAAATGGTGTTAAAAAAGTGCTTTTATTCTAGCCAAAATAAAACAAATAAGACTTTCTCCAGAAAAAAAAAATATATTATCAGACAAACTGTGAAAATGTTCTGTTAAACATCATTTGGGAAATATTTAAAAAAGAAAAAAAAAATCAAAGGGGGGCTAATAATTCCGCCTTCAACTGTATATATATATATATATATATATATATATATATATATATATATATATATTACATTTTAAATGGGCAAGCAAATAACAGTTTTATGCAAATATGCAAACATTATGCAAATATTTAACTTTTCTAATTATTGTTGTACTTGTGTTTGGGGATGAGACTCAAACAGCGCTAAATAT